ACAAAAATAGAGTTTATTAAGAGCTGGATCATTTAAGAAAGATTTCCAGGTAAGTTATATTACAAAAAAAAAAAAAAAAAAAAGAAGAAAAGAAGTATCCTCTTGTATTTCTTTCCTCGGTTCCTTGCAGGGCAACCCTAAGGCAAAGAAGAGGAGATAATATGTTTCCTTTTTGGGCAATACAGTACAAAAATAGAGTTTATTAAGAGCTGGATCATTTTGTTTTATGTATTTGTCAGCTAATAGAGTTCTTTTATAAATGAATATTAACTGAGAAGAATATATCTGCTGGAATTTAAGAAATAAGCCAAGTTGTGGGTACATTTTTAATATTTTTTCTGAAACCACTGTGCAAATAGATAAAGTTCATAAGAATATTCTCTGTTGTGTAAGTACTGGTGAAATGGTGCCGTGTAGGTCATCTGTTGGCTATTTTAAAACCTGAGCAACTGGAAATACATCCTCTGCATCTGTTCTCTGCAGAAAATGAAAAAAAAAATGCAGAAAATCTCTGCAGAAGCTCTAGGTAGTGGAAGGAGGACAAAATATTAAAAAGTAGATTTTCKAGTCCTTTCTAGCCTATTTTCTAGTCCTTTCTAGTTCTTTTCTAGTCTAGAAAAGTACATTTCTAGTCCTGGGAAATGCCTGGAATCACTTCTGAATGCAAGTTTGTGTTGCCATGGACAAACTTTGCCTTGTCTTAGACAAGCAGGAGTAGATATCAGCAGTGAGTCATTGACTATGGACTTCAGGCCATGTTTTTGTCACAGAAGCACACTGCAAGTGTTTGCAGCAGGGTCACAACATGTAAGAAAAGTCTGGTTTGAGAATCAATTTTAATTTTTTCAGCAGCAGGATGTAGCTATTTGAACATGGGATCCTCTCTTCTTTTCCTATCTTTGGACTGTCTCTTAGACAGGCTTTGAGCAAATCACTTGTGCTTCATGTAACTGGTTTCTTCAGCTGGGAAAGGTGCTAATAGCACCTACCTGTTTTGTAAACATTTTTGTCTGTGTGTGTATAATATCAGATTGTTCTTGGCACAGCTCCTTTCCTGTGTGCCAGAGGCGAGAGACTTGTGCAGGTCAGAAGGATCTTGTTTTGGGGCTATTTCTCTTTGGGCAGCACAGTAAAACAGACCTCAACAAGACACTTTTTTAGAGCTTGTGCTCTAGAGCTTGTGCTCTAGGAACTGAGCCTGTATTGGTGTCCAGGAGGCCAGCACAGGTTGCAACAAGGGTAGATGTCGGTTCCTGCAGCACGTCTAGGCTTTGGTCAAACATCTCGGCTGCTTCCTTGGCATTAGCATCAATCTGTGCATGTACTAAACAAGCAGATACGGGAGCTTTACTCGGACGATTTGACTCTCATTGTGTCTGTTTTGGTAGAATGACTGGAAGTGAAAGGAACAGCTTTTAAAGCAGAACAGAAAGGTCAGGTTCCTGGACTGTCAGGTGAAAGAGAAATGGAGGGCCAGTTGTTAACCCCTTCAGTAAATCCTGGAACAGAGGCACCTGAAAGGCTTGATTCAGAGGAACAGGTACCCTAGATATGATGGCAGTGGCATTTGATTTTAAGATTGTGAATGTTGTGATTTGGAGGCTTCTACTGAGTGTCAGTGTATTAGTGATCAAAGGGTTCCTCTGACAATAATTAATGTTATTAATCTCAGCACCTGCTGGTGCTTCTCWTCCTAACGGAGGGCCTCTCTGCAGAAACCTAATTAGGAGGAAAGAGAGAGCTGGAAGGATGGGTGCTGTACGGGTGCAGCAGCACTCTCCGATGAAAACTGCAAGGACCAGCATGGAGGAATAAACAGCCCTGAAATGTGTGTCTGCTGTCATTGATCTCCATTAAAATATGTCTTTGTGACTATACAATACTTCTTCCCCATCCCTTTGAAAAATGTCTGTAATGGTCTTTATTGTGAGTGTACCAAGTAATGCCTATAACCTGAGCTACACAGAGGGATCTGAATATGCCACCTGAGACAGACTTCGCATCCTCAGGCTGCATCCACACGGCTAGCAGAGCTGCAGTGAATCTGCTCCTCCCTCGGTGCAAGGAGGTGCTGCACAAAACCCCAAGCCCATCTCATGAGCTYAAACAGTTGTGCTTAGAGCGAGATGTTCAGTGATTCTGCGCAGTGTGTCAGCTTGGTGCCTGTCTGATTTCTAAGTTTCTGTAAGCGGGGTGTGCTTGGTGGCATCATGTTGCCGCTGTGCTGTGCTGCAGCCACCTGGAACGGAATGATACCTGCATTGGAGACCACAGCCTTGAGCTGGACCTAGCCTTGAGTTGGGCTGAGAACTTGGAAGGGATTTTACCAAAGCTTTGATAGGCTCGGCCAGTTAAGTGTGAGGCTTCCTGTATGGCTGCTCCTCAGGTTTAGGAAGGAGTCCTTAAAGGCAGTGGAAAGATTTAGCCTCCTATTACCTTCTGCGCTTGTTAATATCTCTTCCTTCTAATATCTCTTCTTTGTGGCTGCACAAGATGAAATGTTACATTAGAGATATAAGGAATGAGGACCTGTGCATTTCCTTCTGACAGGACAGATTCTCTCTTGGCTGATACTTTTTTTTGTTCCCCACCGTCACAGGACATCTGTGGTGTTCCTGCCTTGGCAGACATTCATACCTCGCCAGGGATTGTGTTTTTAACAAGAGAGGGATCCAAGTCATAAAGCAGGAATAGACAGAGCTGCCACATGTGGTTCCAGGACTGTATAGATTGACCTGAGCAAGCATCAGATCAATTAGCTCTGATCCCACAGCCACAGGCATTGGCTCCACGCTGTCACTGCTCAGCCTGTGAAGCAAGATAAACTTTYGTATCCTAAGTTCTTTGTTGCCCAGAATAACTAGTTTAAAGATCCCTGAGGTGTTTCCCTGAAGTCAGCGCCGTGGTTTTGACACCAATACCGCCTGYGAGCACAGTTTTGCCAGCACACTGCAGCGCTCTCTGCTCGTGCTGGCTGGTAGCACTGGCACAAATCAGCACTGCTGGCTAGTGGAGGCAAGACTCCTGCGGCTGCCTGCCCTTCTAATCCTGCCCTGTTGAATCCTGCCCAGAGTGGGTGTGTGGGAGTAGTGTTTGGATCCTGTGTTTTTGTTCAAACCTCGGTGAGAGCAAGACTGGAGGCCATGGCGAAGTGCCACGATGGCTGATATCAGGCCAGATCTAAGCTTCGTTGGCAATAAGTGGCTTTGCTCAGGGGCTTTCGTTTCATGCCCCCCACCTCCTTTCTTTGCTGGCCTCTCAACTCCTCTTGCTCWTTCAGCCCTGCTACACTAAGTCTCTTCTACCTTAGTGGTAGGGTGATCACATAGCTTTGGAAAGGCACTTTAAATCCCTGGCACTGGTGGCTTCCAGACAGTTCAGTCCCAAGCTGGAAGGAGAAAACTGGTGGGAGCCTTGGGGAGTTCTTGTCGTCTACTGCTGTGTGCAAAGTTCCCAGTGCAATCTCCATGCTTTCCCTGCAGGTGGCAATGCTATGGATTCTGTAACGAAAACAAGGCAAGATGGATCAGAAGTTACTGAAAGACGTAAGGAGAACTTCTTTATTATTATTTTTTTTTATTTCCTATCACAAGATAAGTTTGCACGTAAAAAAAAAAAAAAAAACAGATCAGATGCCCAGTTGTGAAAGGGGTTGAATACTGACTAGAGACCAAGAACCTCAGGTTCTACGCCTGCCTGTGTTTCTTTGTCCAAGTTAAAACAGACAGTACAATGGGGCAGTATCAAACATCTGGAAACATTTATCATAGTTTGAGTATAGAACCAGAAGTGACTGCCCTGTAGTAGTACTTCTACCCAGCATCACAGACTTTTGAATTCTCATCCTGCCACTGATACCAATGCCCTACCTGGCCAAGCATATACTCCCTAAATATCTTTTTTTGTTGTTGTTTTTTGGCTCAGTGTCAAACAGAGGGTGAGTTTCACTGCTGTCAGTCTGGAAATTCCTACTAGTGGCTAGTGGTCCTTGCAGTTCTAACAATCTCTGTGGTTCAGAAGTACTCAGAAATAATAATACTTTCATGTTTCACAGATACTTTGCAATGAGAAATCTTTCATGGCAGTGGGGTTCTCAGTTACTGCACTGTGAGAAAGACCTGCAAGCAAAATCAGAAAAAAAAAAAAAAGGTTGTGTGTTAATGTCTTAATGAGAGTTCAGCCCCCTGCCAGAACAGTTACAGTTAGGGGACTTTTCCTTGCAGGAGTCCTGCTCCTGCTTGAGAATGAAATTCATGATTTGAATTGCTAGATTAAATTGCATTAACTTCTGTATCCTTTTCTTTCCTCAGTTATTACAGAGACTATAACCACAAGACTCACTTCCTTACCACCAAGTAAGTAATTATGATCTGCCACATGATCTGTGCCCCTCTATACAATTTAGCTATGCAATTTCTACAGGATTCTGGGTAGAGGGGGTCTGGGTGCAGATAGACTTGCACCCCAAGAGAAGCCTCTTTCAGAAATGCCTCCCAAAATGTTGTTTGTGGAGAGAAGGAGCAGTGTGGGGAAAGCTGTGTGGGTTTTGTCATAAGCAAGGAAGCCATGCAGTGCAATAAAACTTGTAGATCAGACTGGAAGGAACAGTTACTGTCTCCTGGGGACAAGGCTCAAAAGTGTTTTATTGTCAGCTTCCACTGCTGCAGATGCAGAATATTCTTCCATCAACTTACCCAGTGGGTGAATCCCTTCTGGGTAGTATAGAAGATCAGAGATAATTTCTACCTCTGTGTAATAAGTAGGGAAGACTCCTCCATACTCTTAATACTGCTGCATTTCTTGATAAGCGTGGTGCAGCTGGGTTGGAATGTGTTTGCTCTGTCTCATTTATAATGAGGATTACCAGGAGCTTAATTCAGCCCATATCAAGGGCAAAACTTGACTGCAAATCTGCTGGATCTACAATGTGAGTGTRTAAGTGCTCTTCTATGGCACTTTTCTACAGTCCTGCCACCTTCTCAGACATGATGCTATCCTTGTAATTGAGAATAAGGCCAGCTTTGGTACCTGCTGCCTCATCCTGCAGCTTCCTTGCTCTTCTCACCTTTTACTCTTAGAAAATGTCTCATTTGTGCTCAATATCTTTTCCAGAAGGAGGAAGTAGCACTGGGCTCAAAACATCATCCCACACTGGAGGGAGTGGAATAGAAAAGAGGACTTACACCCATAGCAGCAGCTGTGTGACTTCTAGTAAGTAAGGAGTGAAGACATTGCATGGTGAGGAACCAGAAAGTAAAGACAGCAAAGATGGTCTAAGGAGAGATTCAGGGCAGGAAGGTGTGCCCTGAATACAAATGTTCTCTGTCCAGCTTCTGGATTGCCATAGTAAAGGTTCCTGGAGAACAAATTTTAGAGTCAGGTTTCTGGCACATCCCTCTCTCTGTTCCCCAGTGGGACAGACTGGGTAATGGGTGTTTCAAAACACACTTGACCTGCCTCAAAAGACCCAACAAGTCAAAGGAATGCAGTGTAGTTTTAAAGCTCAGATGAAGAATTAGCCATACACCAAGCTGTCAGTCAGCTCCTTGCCGGTTAAAGCCCAGAGTGTGGAGTCTTTTCACTTTGGGGAAGAAGTGAAATAATTGCAGTGAAAGTAGCAGTCTAATTGTCCAGATTTGCACCAGTCTAAATGAGAACAGAACCCAGCCCTGCAAATTCTGACTTAAATGACTCTGCAGGATTGCCATCTTCCCTGTTATTTCTTTTCAACGTGTGGAGGAGAAAAGAATCTGAACTTCTGAGATAATGAGCTCTTTGAGGTCTACAGAACATTGTCTAATCCCTGCTCTCCTGCTCAGCTTGAAGAAGGCCTCCAACAGAGGCCTACTTGTCACAGTAGTTCTTTCTACTGAATTAAGTGAGATAATTAAAGTAAAAAACAGGTTCCTATAGAGGGGGAAAACTGGCAAAAAAYCATTCTGTTGAGATCCTGAAGGCTTGCTCTGTTTGCACTGAAGGGTTGACAATGTCCAGTCAGATCTTGGTGTTCATCATGAATATATTGTCCTTTATCACTGYGTTCCCCTTGTGCTGTACTCTGATCAAGCTGCAGCATTGAATATCATAAAGTCCTTTTTATCTGGTCCTTTCCCAAACCACACATTGGCTACAGCGTCTTAGTTCGCTTTCCACAGCACAGATGTGAATTCGGAAGGGAAATTCTCTCCCATATATAAATAGAACAGTCACCGATAAATTCCAGGCCGTCTTGTGTCTGGCTCGCACTTCAATCACTTCTCCCAGAAGTTGACTGACTAAAGCATGACTAAGTGTGCACGTGGTACCTGTACTGGAGGGAAAGGGGACTCATCTCTGCTTTTCCCTGGCTCATGATCTGCATCCTTCAGCTCTTGGTGTTTGGTTTAAGCATCTCCCAGTTCTTGTYGTCTGTGTTATATGACAATTGAGTTTACAGGTGAGTCTGTATACAGACCAAACGCYAAACAGATCCAGATGTGATCCTGCTCAGAGGAAATGGCTCATTTGTCCCCTAGTTGAACTTGCTCCCCTAGGAAGTTGTTGACATCATYGACATGATTCCTTCTAAAGCCATCAGGTAACATCTCTGTGCTGAATGCTGAGGACAGTCAGAGTTAMATGCAAATTTGGTCCTTGCCTATGTATGATTTTACATTACCAATACAAATTTATCCAGCTCAGTAACATAGAGCATCCCCTTTTATCTGCAATGCATATTTTCAGTCTATTCAGGAAAGATTTGCTTTACCTATAGGTGGAAGTGGTAGAATGAATTCATCATCRTCATCCTCCGGCTACAGACAAACCCAGTCTCCCAGCTCTACTCTCACCAAATCACCCAGCTCAACATTTGAAAGAAAAACCTATGTCACTCGTCATGCAGCATATGAAGGTATCACAGAACATGCCATTGAATGGGAGCAATTTGTTGTGTTGTTTGAGGTCAGTTGGGACTTTGATAATGTTAATGCAAGAGTTTCTTGAATAGCACAAGAATCCCATTTTGGTTTTGCTAGGAAATAAGCAGCAGTGGGCATTTTTTAATGGCAGAGTCCTATTTGTAGGAATGCTCTTTCATAAGAATTGTTATGGCATATCATTGAAGGGCTTGAGCAGGTTTTTCATGTAGTCCTGAATAGCTCTTTTTAAATAGAAATATTTGTTATCCGGTGAGATCCAACAGTTATCAGGAAGATATGTTTAGAAAGCTTTTTTATGATCTTGTATAAAATGTTAACTGACACCCTTCTGTTCTTTGCAGGGAGCTCCAGTGCTAATTCCTCTCCTGAGTTCCCCAGAAAAGARCTTGGTATGTTCTTTCAGAGCTGTTCCTCTGAATATTATGACAAGGCCTTGTGAGTTGGTGACTAAGGTGGCGTTTTGCACATCACATTTATAAGAACATGGGAGGAATAAAATCTGCCAAAGGCAGAAGCAGGTTGCAGCGTCCTGCTCTATGCATGCTGCCTCTATACTGGGTAACCAGTGCAACTGCATTTCTTCTGAGGAGTTATTTGGAATTTACTTTAACATAACTGTGATAAAGGTCTCTAAATGATAAGTATTTCAACAATATATCAATATATTAATATATCTTCTTTTCTGACCCATCTACCCACCACAGCATAGTTCACGGACAGAAGAATATAGACGTGCAAGACTTCATGTCATTTTCTGTTTCATACCTGGGARAATATCTCTGAATGAGAAAGCCCAKCCCCTTAACATTCTSAGCCATTGCTGCATGTGCACTTCCCCTAGCTGTCTTTCCAGGCTTAACCATGTTTGCATGGTTTAACTAAAAAGATCGTCTAGATAACAAATGCTGTATTTGCACTGCATATGGTCAGCAGATGTGAGCTTGCCCAGTCCGTTCTTTAAGCTGCAGACTTCATGAGTGTAGGCAGTGAACCAGCAAGATTTGGGCATCTTTCTGGCTCAGAGAGGAGTCAAGGTTCCATTGCATCCAACTTTGACTGATAATATAAACATGTTCACTTTCTACTGGCCTGCTGACATGGGAGATTGAGGTCTATGAACAATGTTTTTGTGTATAAACAGGAACAGCARCTCATCCAGAAATGCTAGAGTTGCTAACTATTCCTTGAGATATGTCTAAGGTGGCGTGAAGAGGGCTTGGCATAAAATCTGAGGGTTCAGTTTCCCCATTTGTGCCTCAAGTAAAGGTACCTGAGTGCCTGAGTCACTCTGAGCAAGGTCCATGTGTTCATCTTCATAGTTATAAACAGGCAGTGAAGTCTAATTGCTTTTCTCTTGTTTGTGTTCACAGGATCWGCCTCCACACGAGGGCGAAGCCAAAGTCGAGGTGAGTGTAGATCCTGTTCTTTCAGAGGCTTCTTTTGCTTCCTTTGAGGCCTGTTAAATGAGTCTGTTCCTTAGCTGGAATCAATCAGTTTAAGTAGAGAGCGGTCAGGTAAACTACATGAATTTGCACCAAAACAGACGTGGACTGTTTATCTGTGAGCAGTTGTTTAAGCTATGATGGTTGGGGCTGTGTCAGAAAGGAGRTGCTTTGGGAGGTGTGCTCCACGGTCATAGAGCATCATCTACTGCCTTATCTGTTCACTACCTTGTCTGTCCTCCTGTCCACAGGAGCTCTGGGACCTCCTTTGACATATTTAAAAATAGAAACCTCAGTAACTGTATTCATCTTCCTTTGTTGAGATCTGTCTGACAAACAGACCACAGTGCCTTTCCTTGAAATGCTTTTAGTTGGGAGATGGTGAGAAAATTGTGAACTTGCTGTGGTCTGTTTAGCTATTTCATTGTAAAAATGTGCACTCTTTAAATAGCTCAGCTCTTCTACTAGTTTATTAGCAGCACTGGAAAAAGTAGTATGAAATTGCTCTGAAAAAGTTTAATATCTATTCCTGTTCCCAGTTGCTTGAGGAGGCAAATATAATGTCACTTTATCCAAGTTAATTTTAGCAGTGGATATAAATCAAAGGGTGTTCTTGCACACGCATCTCGGAGAGTATCACAGTTACCACTTATTCTACCTAAGATGCTGTCAGCAGAGGAGGAGAGCCCAAGCTCCCAGMAGAGCTACGCCATACATAATAAAACAGACACCAGAGAATCAGCTGCAGCTTCTCCTATTACTTCAGAAAATAGTCCTAATCCATCAGGTTCTCAACCTGTGTGCCAAAGCCAGTGTTTCATTTATAGTTCACGCACTGTCAGATTTCATCTGCAGGACCATGTGTCACACACCATGGCTGGCCAGTTGGCATATGAACAGCAAACTGTAAGGTTTGCCTCAAACAGATCAGATTGACTATAGTCTCTTGTACTGGATAGTAAAATCCAGTAATAAAACTGAGTATTTGGTGAGAATGTTGGCTTAAATAAAAGGTTATTTGTGATTTGACAGTTTTATTTCAATCTAATATTTTGTCAAGAGGACCTGTATATTAAATGAGTCAACAGAGAAGTCATCAGGTTTTACGGGACTAGATCTTACAGCTTCTTATGGGGTTGACAGTATGTATTTCATTTGAAAAGTAATAGGAAATTTATGTATTTAGTAATTCTTAAAATCCTGAAGGACAATAATAATAAATTTGGATGAATGGGTGTATCAGTGTGACTGATGACTGCASAAATGACCTTTCTGTTCTGAATTATATTTAATTCAGCAGAGGAGCACAGTGAGTAAAATACTGCTCTCTGGAAGTAAAGGTAGCAAAATCTGTCCCCTAGACAAAAAGTATCCCCAATCCAATGAACAGGTAATGCCCATGGGCCATGAGTGCTGCTCAAAGCAAGCAGTAAGGTAACACAGACAGCAACAAGGAAGAAATTCGTTTCAGTCACAAGGTTCATTCCCAGACCAGAGCACAAGGGCAGCTCATTCCATGTTCATCATCTGCTTTTTTGTCTTCACAGAGAGTGAAATACGAGTCCGACTGCAGAGCGCATCACCATCTGGCAGATGTAAGTGCCGTGGCTTTTATTCCAGGGGATCAAATATAACATGGAGGGTATTTTTACTTTGGGGCTGTCTGCAGTGTTTCTGTAACCCAGCTTTCCTGAAGACAGGTAGAATATCACCCTATTTCCCTGTTCTGTTGAGAACTTTTGCTTGTGTCCCTTTCTGAACAAGAGGTATGCTATGGGTTTGATGATGTTGCAAGGATATAGTTGTACCTATTTGCCAGAAGGAGAGTTTGAAACTTTGCTGTTGAAGTCAGAGACAGTCCTAGAAAAGGAAAGAGTTCTGGAAAAATGTTTTTATCTGCTGACTTGGAATTGTGCCACTGCGCAGAATTAGCCTACACTACATTTGTTATGCAAATAACAAGCATGAGGATAGAGCATAGATAGAGCAGGATTATTTTGGTTGATCTTGATSCATTCTGGACAAGGACCAACATCCAGTAAACTCCCCATTGAAGAACCGGTAAAATGTTTCCCTTTCACTGCTACTGTATTCCCAGCAACTCCTCCTCATGCATGATACTCTGGGAAGAACAGTATGTAACTTCATGGAGACTCAAGGGTAAAATCCAYCATTCTAGTGGTTTAGGCAGGGCAGAATTTTGCTGAAATTTCTGCTGAAAAGTGAACCACYGTTTCCCCAAATCAAAGTATTAGAGTTTTCCAAAATAACCCCGTGTATTACTGGCTGCATTATGCTCTGCATGAGGCATTTCTGATTACAGATCAGTGAAACACTGGGGTTTGGGCTAGCCTCTATGCTTGTTTTTCCTGACAGGGACGGAGCTGGACGATGTGAAACGTTTGCTGAAAGGAAGTCGGTCAGCAAGCTGCAGCCCTACTCGATCACCATCAAGCACTCTCCCAATCCCCAAAAAAGCTGTGGTGGAGACAAAGATGGTTACTGAGAGCTCTCAGTCAGGTAATTGGCAGAGGAAGGWTAGCAATGCTGGAGCCATCCCAAAGAATTTCTGTCAGAAAAAAATGCAGCTGCTAAGAGTATCAGACTGAAAATACATGGTCCCTRTCCCAGACAGTGGTGGTAAAACAAAAGAAGTCAGAATGCCAGCGGGCTGGCCAGATGTTACCCTGCCAAGGCACATCCTGTCTTCCTTTCTAGTGCCTTGTCTGACTTTCATAAAATTAAGCCAATTCTTGCTTTAATTCAGCTTGAAACTGACTTTAATTCAGAGATGTTGGTGACAGAGACCAGGGCTGTAAGCAAGCATTTCTTAGAGCAATGTGATCGCTGATCTAAGACCAAAGTGGAGGTAGAGATAGCCACAAAGAAAATGTCTGTGTAGTAATTGATTTACTGGCCACGCTGCRTGCCATACTGGCCACAAGCATACTTCGGGTATTTTTTTTAACAAGAAGTTGTACAAAGGGTGTTTTGGCCTGGTCTCACTGAAAAGCATTATTGGTTTCTTTGTATCTGAGTGTGTGTGTGTGTTGGTTTATTTTGTTTTGTTTTTTTCCAGTGTCAGGGACATACGATACAACCATACTGAACACTGCTCTCCCTTCGTACATGTGGTCCTCTACWCTGCCTGCTGGATCTTCTCTTGGTGGATACCACAACAGCATGGCCCAGAACTCCTCGTTAATCAATACTATGTCTCACTCTACAGGATCAGGTAACTTCCTGGACCTCCTAGGCTCTACCATGTGCTTAAAGGATGTAACTTCATACTAAAAAAGAGTCAAAAAGCGCTGTTTTTTCTCTGCCCAGCAAGGAGAAGTAAAATGATGGAAAAATAAAGGTGGCAGGGGATACGCTTGAATATTCTCTGATTTTCTGRAACTTAGTGCTCTCTGCTGCACACTGGCTGTTTTTGAAAACCCTTCTTTGTGAGGATAAATTGTCCTGACTGCCTGACCTGTCTCAACTTTAATGAAAGCTTTAGCTGTGACTTTAGTGAGGTTAGGCTCAAGTCCCTTATCAAAACTAGTGCTAGACTCCGTTTAACATTGAATTATCCTGRTGCATTCTACGAATAACTGGACCTAACCTTTCAATCCTAATGTACTCAAAGATTCTTTCACAGTCAGTAAGTGTTGGCACTTACTATTCCCTAGAAAACCCTAACTACCAGGGACGCAGCATTTCCCAGCTCAAAGGAAAATCAGAGGAAGCTTTAAGATAGCATGCTATTACAAACTTTGCTTTCTCATCTTAGCCCATCATTGCAACTTGTCTGACATAAGATTTTGTCCCCTTTCTGCAAATTGTCTGACATAAGGTTTTGTCCCCTTTCTGAGTTCAGTAAAAGAGAAATTGGTTTTCAAGATTTTTCATCTTTGTAATTTTTGTTCATTTTCACTAACTGCATTTCCAAATAACTTTTACTCTTAAGTTTCTTTGGCTGTGTCACTGAGTTGCAGGCATTGAGAGTCGAATTCCAGTCCAGGGAAATAATAATATTTCACTTCTTTTTTTTTTTTTTTTTTTTTTTTTTTTTTTTTTTTTTTTTTTTTTTTTTGCAGTCTTTGGCGTTCCAAATAACCTGGCTCCCAGCAATCCCACTCTGAACGCAGGCCTGAGTGCTTCCTCATCAGGTCAGATTTTTCTGTTCTTCCCTTCACCCTTTCACAGTGCACCAGTCCTGGCAGACTCATACAAAAAAGCAATGACTCTTTCACTCCGCTGGTCTTTGTGTCAGCAACTGCTATACATAACCATTATTCTCTGGTTTTAGTGGAGTTATTCTGGGTCTGCCCTGTATAGCTGGTATTAGTGCCCAACTGTTTCTATTTAAGAGGCCAAGAAAAATGGAGATTTCCCAAGATGGGTAACTTCTCTTTTGAATGACACTTGTCAGACCAGCATATTTCTTTCCCTAGCAGAAGATAAGACCATGAAAGATAAATGTACATATCCTAATCTGTAAGACTGCACTCCTCCTCTATTAACTTTCTCTGTAATTTTCCTTTGCTACACCTGGCTCATWACTTCCAGCAGACTCTTTTCCATATCGCTAAGCCATTCTCTTCCTTTCACAGTAACACATAATTTTTCTGCACAGCGCAGTGCCACCATGCAGGTTTCTGCCTAGATGTGGGGACTGGCTATGTAAAAGCAGCCTGAGCTGAGCCTAACATTRCTAAGCTCATTCAGACACCCAAAGTGCCATGCTTGAAGCCAGTTGCTTCTTCTAGACTGCACTTCAACACATCATGTGTATGGTTATTTCTTCAAACATTCTGTGACCATTCAGTTTTCTGAATTCATCCTTTTTCTCAAAACCTCTCTTCTGTAAATGTGCATGCAGCCATGAGAGCAGCCTCTTGGTCTAACTCAAGCTTGTGTTTTGAAATGGTCACAGTTATTGTTCTGAGCCAACAATAACTCCAGCAGCAGAATGGTCTGAGGGAAAGAGAATGTTGCAAGGAAGGTCTTTGAACAGAAATGCTTAGGCCTGTGGTGCATTCACCTAGGTGGTGACATTTCTTGGGAGCCAGGGCGGGTGGTTTCAAGACAGAAATATGCTGAAGTTGTCATCATTTTCACTGGTTTTGTTTTATTTTAGGCAGAATAGCAACTGTGTTGCAGATCTCCTATAACTCGCATTGTTTTTTCTCTACAGTGTTTGGTGTTCAAAACAACCTGTCTCCAAGCTCTGCAAGTCTGACCCAAAATGCCACCGCAGCCTCTGCAGGTCAGCAACTATTTAAGCCTACAGAAAGTGTGTGAGTCACTGTCTTCTACCTTTTCTGTAGCAACTAGAAAGTTCATGTTGAAAGAGGCTTCTTCATAGCCACCTTTTCTCATGCAAGGATGACATATGCAAATAAAGAGGAGCATTTCCTGCACTTTGCATGCACAGGAATAGCTCTTAATGCCTATGTAGGCTCTGGATATTTATTCAGTAGGAAAACCCTTACTCCTTTTAGTTGTCCTAGATGCCCCAAATGAGAAAAGACTATGAAAGTGTGTGCAAACCCAAGGCTACCTGGTGTGGGTAGCCTCCAACTCATTTATTGTGGGATTTCTTCCTTGCAGCATATGGGCTGAAGAACACTTCCCAAAGCAACACCATGGCTAGTACTGGCGTGTCTGCCTCAGCAGGTGAGCGTGCCACTCACAGTTGTTTAGACATGACAGTGCAAGCTGTGTAGCGTGCTGGCCTTGTTTGAGCATATCACGGCACAAATATGCTCAGAGATTCAGGCAGGTAAGTGGCACTAACATATGGCTCCACAGAAGCACAATAGGTCACACCCCACAGGTGCCTTTCTGAAATAAAATGCTATCTATTTTCAGCAGCAGTCACTCCCCTGCTAATGCAATATACAGCTTCAGTGACCACTGTGTCTCTTGGCATGTGTTTATAGTAGTAGCAACCCCAGTCACAATTCCTGTTTTAATGAGCCATTGTGCTGTGGCTCRTACTTAGTTGGCCCAGACTTCTGCTTTTTCCCATCTTTATCCATATTGCAGGGGGAACCGTTTTGAGCTCCCAGGGAGACGATGTCCTGCGCAAAGACTGCAAATTCCTGCTGTTGGAGAAAGAGAATGTCCCAGCCAAGAAGGAGATGGAGCTCTTGATCATGACAAAGGACAGTGGCAAARTCTTTAGTGCCTCTAACCCTGGGCTCAATGGAGGTAACTTCTCTTCCTCAGGATATCTAGATACGCTTAGAGCAGAGAAATGGAAAGTGAGCAGGTGGTGAAAGAGCACCCAAAGCAGATCTGCAGGGAACATTTTTGAAAATTTTGCACAGCTACAGTGAGAGCAGTATAACCTGAACTTTCATGATAAAGATGAACCCTGCACGTGCAGACAGGTGAGCTCTGCAGCCCCAGAGTTGTCTCTGTATGCGGTTCAGAGTACACTGTACCTAACGTAAAGCTCTGCAAGCCTAATGTGAAGCCCTGGCAGCAAGTGTCAAGGCATTTAGTTTTCGTACAGGCTAGGTCTAACTTTAGCCTTTGAAGCTCTAGAGTGTACCTCAGTGAGATTTCACACAGCTCAGTAGCTTTGGAAGTTAGAAAGAACTGGTTTAAACTGACAGAGTTGTGGTTTTCCAGTAAAAAAAAACCTTACTTTTTGCCAGCAAAGGCAAAAAAATTGACGAGTTTGAAATGCCWGTGTAATGTGTTCAATTGCATTTGGTTCCTCTTCAGGATCCTACGCAGAAGACACCTTGAAGAAAGAGAAGCAGGGATTTTCCTCATATGGTGCAGATGCTGGCCTAAAATCAGAAACAAATGGTAAGAGTTTGTCTCTGTGGCAAGGCAACAGAGCACTATTCTGCCTCCATTACCAGTTTACCCTTATAATCTCAGTCTTCTAGTCTGATCATGCATAGAAAGACTATTAAAAACTCTTTTGCTGCTGTTTCAACAGGAGGACTAAAATCCACACCCKCAAGGGACAAAGCAACTTACGCAGGTAAGTGGTGTTTTTCAGACCCTTTCATTAGAGGAAACACCAAAGCAAAAACAAACAGCATGCGAGACAAGTGATTTCTGTGTGATCACATTAGATGGRAGGCCTGCTCAAGAGGCTACTCTGTAACAAACAGAGCKTGCAGCAGAGAAATTTGCAGCTGTAGTTTGATTGTAGGTGAGTGAGCAGCTGTGCCACATTTTTACTGAAGGAGATCAGATAGCTGATGATGCAGATGCATCCTGCTATCAGGATAAATTTATGGTAAAAAAGGGACTTAGAGGAACTTTACTGGCCATGGCAGTCATTTATGTCTCTAAACCATGGAACATACTGGCCTGAGGGGCATCATACTTCTCAAATGTTACTTTAGAGAGGTGGGACACTGAGTGTTGTCCCTATTGGAATTCCCATTGGGAATATTATTCCGAGGTTTCACGTTAACTGTATTTTTACCCATCATGTGTGGAGTGTGGTGTAAATATTTTTTTCCTAATAACATTTATACTGTATCTAACATTACTGTCCTTGTTTTCAAGAGATTATTGACTTTGAGGTCTAGAACCCATGCATTAACCAGGAGATTACTCCTTACTCATTCCAGAAATACGAGGTGGAGATGGAGGGGGTGCAATAGGATCAGCGCCGTCCTGGTGTCCCTGCAGTTCCTGCTGTAGCTGGTGGAAGTGGCTCCTGGGTTTGCTTCTGACCTGGTTACTTATCCTTGGATTGCTCTTTGGACTCATTGCTCTGGGTAAGAAGTAACCACGAGAACTGGCTTAGGTTAGAGACCTCCAGATGTAATTAGGGCTGGAACTGGACAGAAACCAGCCTCAGTGTATCCCTGTCCTTGAGATGGGTTATGCCAATGGCTAGAATGAGAGAAAGCAAAGTTGTTGGGGGAGAAGGGTTGCCCTTATTCTTACAGGAGAAGGTTTGATACAGAGGAACAAAACGCCAAACAGGATAGAAGGAGTAACAGAGGGTTTAAACTGGCAAAGGGGCCTAAACTATCACTACCAGATATGCCAAAAGAGAGAGCTGAGGAAGAGCACATTCAGTGCTGAAGATGTGAGTGCCACCGAAGTACTACTAGTGGACAAAAAGAATGGATAAAGGATATAAACCTTTGGTGAGGGGATAAATAGCCTTGGGGTGAGGAAGGAAAGTAAATTCCTGAAATATCACATATTTATTCTCCTTAGTGACTAGCAAGTTCCAAAGATGTCATTTAAACTCCAGAATGTTACTGCTAGAACAAAAGAAATACAGAATAATCCTGCAAAATCTCAGTGGCCATAGTTGTGTGGCAGTGTTGCCTTGTCCCTGCTGTTGGGAGTAGGTATTTCAGTGTAAGCCTGCAGCAGCATCTCCCCTCCCTAGCATTTCACTTTAACTTTGCAGCGGAAGAAGTGAGGCAGCTGAAATCTCGTGTGACTGATCTGGAAAAAAACACAGTGAACCTCCAGACTGGTCACTCATGGAATGAAAAAGCAATTGAGAATTCAAAAGCAAAATCTGTTTATACCATGGTATCCTCCTCGTCCCAGCCTTATTCAGATGACTCCATTTGGCTGATGGTGAGGAGCAAACTGAGCAAGGAAATGGAACAAGGTGAGGCGGGTCAATGATTGCAGTTCTCCATAGACTGGATTATTTAAAGGAGGTGGTGGGATTTGGTTGCCTGGGATCCTAAAGATTAGGATTGCTAAAGCACAAAACAGTCTGYCCAAGTTGGGGCCCTCACCTGTCCTCATACAGAGGCTTTGCTGGGGTTCACATAGTTGCTACTGAAAATATATTGGAAGTTCATCCCTCAAAGGCAGCAGCGAGGGGAGAAGAAAAGAGGTTGTGGATGTGCCGTCTTATGCCAGGATGTGTCACATTTGTTGTAGCAAGTAAATTTTCCATTTTGAAAGAATTACACAGAAAAATGCCCCACAGCTTGTTTCACATGCTACTTTGGTAGCAAGGGAAAAAAGATTACTTCTAGTTCACAAGTGATGGTAACAGCCTAACAGCAGTGGGTGTCAGAGTCAAAGCAGGAATAGGGACTACAGGAGGTTGCATTCTCTTCTTAGGYGGTTTTGTGTAACTACAATTATAGGATTTGCAAAAGCAAATGTGCTGAGAAAACACTGCTCCCAAAGCCATACTATGGTTCTTAGCCTGTGCTGCCTGTGGCTGCAGAATCCAATTGGAAGCATCTTTGTAGGTGCAGAGAGCAGCTGTTCTGTAATGAAATCTTAATGGTCCCTTCACTTCTTGTTGCAGGCTTCTTCCGAGGGGAGAGAGGAGAACCTGGTCTGAAAGGTACAGGCTTATAGTCCTTCTCTTCCTGCCTCCTGTTCCCATGCTCTGGCAGGTTGCAAGTTTAGTGGGGTTTTTAACRCAAGGCGGACTGGAAATGGGAAAGGTGAAACAGGTTTATGCTTAAACAAAAATAGTGTGAAACTGATTTGCTGCTTAAAGTTTAATGGACCTGATGCTGCAGAACTAACGTAAGAGACCTGATCCTGCATTGTGCCAGTGTGAAGATCGAGGTGCTCTGTGTAGCTAGTGGGACAAGTCTGATCATGCATTATTGGAGTGTGAGGTGTCCACATTCACCCTGAGCTCACCCATTTCACTGAGGGCTGGAAGCAAAATAAATGAGCGATCACTGGAAATAGACCAGGATCTCTCCTGATGATATTTTTTTTCTCTTTCTCAGGTGATATGGGAATGCAAGGACCCAAAGGTGAGTCTGGAGTTGCATGCTTTTTCAGGTAGATTAGCAGCCTGCCTTGACACATAGGCCAGAATTTAGGTGGAAAGTATGATGGATCTTCTTTCAGCTGTATGAAAATCATTCCTGAAGCTAAACTATACCTGGTTTAATCAATAGAGGTGCTTTAGAGAACTTTGCACAGTGTGAAGGATCTGATCTATTACACAGATATGAGGGACCCAGTATGGGATTGCCTGAGAACTCTGAAATATGCTAGGAACATAGACTTCTTTTAGGGAAGGTTGATGACTAGCCAAAGAAGAACAGGGAAGTCCTATTCCCCACTGATTGTTTCTTTCTCCCCACAGGAGAGCGAGGACTTCCRGGAATCCAAGGTAGGTAGTAGGACAACTCACTTTTGAGGGAGGGCATTCAGCAGAATTACTGTTGGCAAGAATAAATTTCACTAGGCAAAATCAGCTAAAGATGTTGCTATAAGGTGTCAGTATTTAACGGTATTTAACACTTGATTAATACCTTGATGTTAAGTTACTGACACAGCACAGAGACTTGATTACAAGCAAGGTCTTAGCCTGACTTCAATAGGCACTAATTTGGGAGCACGAAGATACCATCTTAAACTTTGACAGAGTCCCAAAGCTGCAGGAGCATTTGGTCCATGCAGCTTTTTTGTGCTCTATGTACCGTACTTCTCCAAAGAAATTCCTTGTTCAGGCACCCATCTTGCAATTAATATATTCTTTAGCTGAGATGCAGAATCCTTCCAGATTTCAGCTTGACAGGTGCCCCTTATTTGCATGTTACTCTTTTGTGGTACATCAGTATCRACACTGAGTATTTGCTGTGTTTTCTTTCCAGGCGTTCCTGGTCCAACTGGACACCAAGGACCAGAAGGACCAAAAGGACAGAAAGGCAGCATGGGTGAGCTTCTTGAGTAGTGCTGTGGATCTCTCRCAGCTAGGAGTACAAACATCAGCTTGGTGTCAACATTGCCCTCCCTGCGGAAGCAAGCAAGGTTTTGCACCTTGTCTTTGGTCTYCTGTAAAGGGACCCTTTATTACTTGGTTCCTATAGGTGATCCTGGCATGGAAGGTCCCATGGGACAGAGAGGTCGAGAAGGGCTGCCAGGGCCTCGAGGAGAGCCTGGACCACCTGGATTTGGAGAAAAAGGAGACAGAGGTATGAATTAGATCTGCCATTGCTGGGTAAAGCAGAGATGGACCAAATATGGATTTGGGGCCTAATTTATTGAAAACCTCAGTGATAGAATTTCATTTGGTTTATTCAGTCCAGACTTCTTGATAGATGTTTGTCAGCTCATTTGTGTTCTACAGTATGTGTTTATATTCTAATTTCGCAGGTGTTGTTGGTGAGCCAGGTCCTCCAGGGCCACCTGGTCCCCCAGGTTCAACAGGCCTTAAAGGTAAATATGAAGRTGGACAGAGATAACCTAACTTCCTGTGTCCTGTCAGGAGGTAATGACCTCTCCAGTCTTCTTGCTCCACTTGGATTTCACGGCAGTGATGAGAAAAGTAATCTTAYAGTAATCATTTTAGAAATAGCTGCCTTTGGCAGAGACACATAAACTTGAGATCATTAAGTTCTTGAGAGTTTATAGTGGGAGTYGAGTTCAGCAGAGAGATTTCCTCAAAACATCAATCTTGAAGATGTGTTTTGTTTCCAGTTGTTTTTCCCTGCTATCAGAGATAAGGGAGTAAACTCCATGCCCCTAACAGGCTGTTAATAGACTTAATCTACAATCCACATAACTGGGACCAAAAGTGCACTATAAATGATGGCTTCTACTGAGACCCAGATTCCAGCATCTCAATCAATATGGAAGGCTTGAATCTTTTTCCTTAGTTCATGGAAAACACTTCCTCTAGATCACAGGAACTTGACTATGTAGATTTTATGGCCTTATTTTGAGGATACCAGTGATGTAAACTTCCAGTGGCTGGGAGGATGCTGGTCAGATAAAAAGTTACTAGGTGGTGGATACTGCTGGGCAGAGAATCCCAGAGAAATTTGTTCACTTTCTAATTGTATTTTCTGAAACATAATTCACGTTGCTTATTCACAGGTCTTATGGGTTCCCCAGGCCCCCAGGGTCCTCCAGGTAAGTGCTGTATTTTTTTTTTAATAGCACCTCATAGACTAGAGAAAACAAAAATATAGTGACTGCTCTTAATAATTTTCCTTATTCAGTGATGGCTGGTGGTGAGCTGGACAGAGTAACCTCCCCATCTCTTTTTTCCCTTCAGGTCCTCCTGGCCTACAAGGGTTTAGAGGAGAAGCAGGTCTTCCAGGTRCAAAGGGTAAGCTCCTCTTTCCTGGGACAGTGAGAGCAGCCATAGCAGATGTACTTTCCTAGCACTGCTCTCAGTAGCAGTCTTGATTTGAGCATGGAGCAGTAAGACCTTGGATTAAAAACAACCTATGAACAAGGAAAGAGGAGGAGGAAATAGATCTAACTCAGTRCACCAAATACAGGAGATGAGAGGTAACAGAGAAGTCTAAATGAGGAAACATGGATGGATGGCACTGTACTGAAGGAAAGGAAGTTCAGTTTAAGTTTCTCTGAAATCGGACTGCATGTATTCCCATATGATTTTCATTCGTGTGTGTGAAATACCTTTTCCTCCCAATTTATTATTAGTTTTCTGAAATCACTGATAAATCTTTCAGGTGAGAAAGGAGCTGCTGGAGCCCCTGGACCAAAAGGTATGTCAATCAATTWGATGTCTTGTGTGGGTACTTTCTTTGGGTTACCTTAGATATAGATACTGTCCTCAGGAATTAAATCCATCCTTCCTTGGTTTGTTCTTTTGTGCTTTTACCAGAAATCAGACTTTCTTTTTTTTTTCTTCTGATAGAAATATTTTACAATGAAGCAATATTGCAAAATGTGTTCCTTATTTTTGTGCTGTAGGTGACCAGGGAGAGAAAGGTTCCCGTGGAATGACAGGTCAGTGGTTTGTTTCCCTGGAATAAAACTCTAAGAAACACATGCATTATTTGAGTTTTGAAATAATAGTGTAGCCCAACCAATAAAATTCAGCTTTCTAAAAGATGTGTAAAGGTTATATTTGTTTTATTAGTTAAATGTTTTGCACTTAAGTTTTAACTAACTAGATTCCATCTTGACTCTAGTAATCTCAGTATTTGGGTTTGTAAATGGATTTAAATTTAAATAAATTCTCCCTCATGTGTATTGTGTTCCCTTCACTTGAGCATACCTGATGCCAAAGACRGTCACAAATTAAGAGGCATCCTGTCAAGGCTGTTTTTCAGTTGCAAATAAGTAAAGTATTGCTGACAGTTATAAACTGGATCTTCAAGATTTGTTTGCTTCACTTTTATGCAATTTGGTTACAGGTGAACAAGGCTTAAGAGGAATGCCTGGTGTTCCAGGAGAGCCAGGGCCTAAAGGATCAGTAGGTAAGTAGCAGAAAACAGATGTGAYTATATCTGGGGCAACGCCATTTTCACCCACAGAGCCTATTTCTGTGATCACAAACAAGGGAATGACTTGGAATCGTACTGGTTATGATCCCAGGTCTCTATTATAGCTACAGTTAGTCTCTGCATTCAGAAAGGTTGTCCTACTGCCAAGTTTCAAGTAAACTCTTGAATCTGAAGTTTAAACTGGATCTTCAGCAAGTGCAGCCAAGGTTTCATTCAGATGAAATACGGTTAAAAGCCACTCTTGTATTTTGGGCTGTGTTCTACTTAGTAGGAAGTTAGGGCAACTGAGGTACTATTTCAAAAATCCCTCATGACCTCCTTTCTCTGRACAGGACCAGCTGGCCGTGATGGACAGCCAGGTGAAAGAGGTAAGGAATTCTTCCTTCTTCACTGCTCTTCTGTTGAGATACTTCTTGACTTGGCAGGAGGCTTTCTGGAGAAAGAGTTGGTAGAACATGCCAGCAGATTCATGTCCTGGGATCTTCCTGTCTCAGAAGAACTGCAGTCAAGCATGTRAATGTGGAACTGATACATGAGGTGGAACTGTAACTGGTGTGAGGTTTCTACTCACTGCAGAACTCTTTTCTGTTGTGAGTGTTCACCTCCCAGACCATGATGCTGAAATTACCCACTTGGCTGTGAGGATCTGATGGGTAGAAAATGCTGAGGGACAGCAGGTGGTAAAGCTTGAGTAGGTTGGTAGATTTTAAGTCTTTGATGCTTAGCTTGTTAATGGTGATTATGTCCCTAGGTGAACCAGGTCTTATGGGAATGTCAGGAGCCCGAGGCCCGCCAGGACCCACAGGAGATGCAGGACAGCCGGGTAAGAGACAACAGAGAACAAAAATAATTTTTGCTCSATCAAGGATACTGAAATACTCAAGAAAATGAGATTTCCAATCTCATTTTGAAGTTTTGGCTCRCAGTTAAATCTCTAGAAAGGATCTCTGTGCTGTAAGAGAGTAATGAAAAGGGAAAGACACAAGGAGTCTAAACTCTTTGTGATACCAGGGTTGCACAAACTGCAGACAAGAACATCAACTATGATAAACCAACGTTTAATCCATATACTGAGTGCTAAGCTGATTTATATYATCTGTGGGCTATAATTTTAAGCAAAAGTAATCAGAAATACAATCTTTTATATAAATAATCTTCAATGTGTCTATCCTCCCTACCTCCCCAATTTGCCTAGATCTCATARAGGTTTTTGCTTTTATTTTTACAGGTCTCACAGGACCCCAGGGACCCCCAGGTAGATTTTTTCCACCATATTCTAAATTATCAATGATACTGTGATACAATGATGCTGATAAGAGCTCAAAACCCCCTTATAATTTCCTCCCAGTAGCAGGGCTTCCAAGGTTTCTGCTTCTCCCTTAGTTTTTGAGACAGGTTTGAGGTTGGTGTGTAAGTTTTTCGCAATGCGGAACCTTGGGCTGTTTTAAAATATGCCTCTCGCCAGAAGATAATTTGATGTTAGGAAGATGTTTCTGTTCCCAGTGCATCGCTCAACAGTCCTTCTAGCCATCAGCAGAAGCTGGGGAGAGAGGAGGTAGCAGTGGAAGTGGATTTGGGGAGCAGGTGCCAGGGAATTTCTGCAAGACCTTCAGAATGGAGGGCAGTATCTTGGGGGAAGCAACAGGCAAGTCTAGGGAGAAGTGACATTATCCAGGGAGCAGAGGGAGAATGGAAGCCCTTCCCTTTGCCTGGGGACAGTCAGCTATGAATTCTTCCCCTGGTATAGTAGGCACAACCTGCATAAAAGTGCTGAAAGCCAATGTCTTTAGTAAGAAATTTCTCGTATAGACCCAAAGCATAAACAGGGGTACCTGGAAAACAAAACAAACAATATTTGCACTAACAATTTTGAATTATCCATCTGCCTCATACTAGGACTTCCAGGAAACCCAGGCAGACCAGGAACTAAAGGTGAGTTTTGTTTCCTGCTGAATACTTACTCTCTAAGCACTTAGTTTTAGGGAGGATTGTCTGCTCAGCTGACCAGTCTCTGAATCAACAGTKGCATCTAGTGGCTTCAGAAAAAGACAGTTTGAGCAACAGAGTGTAACCAAAGCCTTCCTGAGCACACCAAAGGCAGCACAGTGGTTCTTCCTCTAAGACAACCTTAGCAGACCTGGTTCTGCTCTGGATATGTGAGCATGAACCCCACTGATTGCAGTGGGAGCTGTGTGCCTGTCTCAGATAGCTCAGGGCTCATTGCTTATTCTGGCAGATGTAACACTCAGAAAACTCATCAAGGATATCTCTGGATTAGCAGCGCTCGGTTGCTCACCTGTGACTTCTACTGCTGTGATTTCCTGGTCAAGAGATCAAGAGCAAAGAGAATAGAAACCACATGTTTAGCAGGACAATTTCATTGATCTAGTGATGATTCTTCCCAAAGGAAGAATTTCATCTTTCATCTCTTTCTTTTCTTAGGAGAACCTGGAGCTCCAGGCAAAGTTATAAGTGCTGGTATGTACTGCTGTGAATTTAAACACACTTTGGAGGATACATTTTTTATTATGCCTCTGAAATTCCTACTGAATGGATGCTGATGCTGTACTAGCAATTCCCTCTGTTGGRAGAATACATTTTATAACTGGTCAAATGATTACTTGGGGATGAATTTGTTAAGAAATTCATGCTGTGTGTGTTTGTGTTTCAGAGGGTTCGTCAACTATTGCTTTGCCAGGCCCACCAGGTCCCCCAGGCCCACCTGGTCCCACTGGACCCCCAGGTGTCCCAGGTAAGGAGRCTGCTTCTCCATTGTGGTTTCCACAGGCACCTTGCATCACTTCCATCCAGATCTTCTTTAATGTGTGGTGTTTCTTGCCCCTGCAAGGTTGTGCTGTGTGGGAGGTGAGATTGCTAAGGCAGTCTAGATCTATAAGATTCTCCCCTTCCCTGTTGTCTGTGCTTTCTGCACAGAGCAAGGCCAAGATCCAGGGTGGAGTTAGAGAGTTAACAGCATTGAGAGAAAAATGGGAAATGATAACAGGGAGACAAGATAGAAGGGAAGGCTGGAACATATGGGAATTGGGTGTGGGGATATTATCCTTTTATCTGATGAGTACAAACCAGCGATAGATGAGATCCAGCAACTTAAGCCAATACTGTTTGCCTGTCAGGGAGGCAGGCCTGAGTCTAATCACTTCTCAATCCATCCTGTCATCAGAAAGGACTTGTTTTCCAGTCTTAGCTTTGAACTCAAGACAGCAGAAATTTCACATGAGCTGCTGGAAATCTGACTCTTAAAACACACGCCCATACACACTCAGGAGCTATGCATGAAGTTGGTCTTCAGGCTCCTCTCTGATCAGACACTGCCCACCAGCGTCTGGCAGCAGTTCTGGGCCTTGATTCTCATTGCACTTCTGTGCCTTTCCCAAGCTGCAAAAGCTGGAGCTAGTTTGGTAGAGATAGTCTTAATTTGCAGCAGGAAATGCAAGAGGAAGATTAGACCTGTTGCATTTCTGTTTTGGTCAGTAGCAGTCTGGTTATTTTCCAAGTCTAAGAAGCACTGAGCACTTTAATTGCCAGATGATGGAAAATCAAACATTTCTCTAGAACCTCTGTATTATTATACATGACACTAATGCATTCATACTGTATGACACTTCAGTTTATTTGTGCAAATAAATCCTATGATGTTCTCAACTCTTTATCAAAAAGACCTATTAATTCTCTTCTGCTACTGTAAAATACAACCAGGAAATTCCAATGCATTTTTTTATTTCCTTTGAAACCAGGTCCTGTTGGGCCAGCTGGTCTCCCTGGACAGCAAGGTACTGTTTGCCATCAGTCTTGATTCAGCTCCTTAAGCCAACTGCATTCATTCTTTTTCCTTTATTTCTAATTCTCTTAGCCATTAGCCAGTCTTTGTTTGCAAATTTATTCTTTTCAGTTCATTTTGCTGCATTATTTGGCATAATTAATCTTTTAAGGAGTTTCGATTCTTCCCCCTTTTTTTTTCCCAGGGGAAGGGGCGGATGCTAAGAGCCAGTGTGAGGCAGAAGTTGCAGATATCTTTTTTTTTTCCTTTAGTATTTTGACTGGAGACTGGTGTTTCTAAAGCTTTTCTCAGTTCCAGTCACCTTTCTATGGCAGGGAACACAGCCTGATTTCTGGCTTCTGCCATTTTAAACAGTGGGAAAGCGAAGTAGAACCTAATTGGTAATAGTGTCACTGTGAAACTACTGATAGTTGGACAGAGATCTGTTGGGAAGGGCCTGTGCAGAATTAAGAAAGGTTGGAAAGCTTCTCCAAAGGACCCTTCTTAGCTTGTTTTCTATGATCAGTCAAACTGCACTAATTTCCATATTGAGAAGATGTACATCCAGGACCAAGTTCAGACTCTTGGTTTACATGAGCCATGTGTTAACTCACATCAGGGAGATGAGGCTGCACAGTGCTCAGTGAATTCAGCTTTTCTTTCTTTATCCTGAAAAAGGTTCACGAGGTGAGCCGGGATCTGCAGGTGAAGCTGTGATAGAAACCATCAGAAAAGAAGTCTCATCACTAACATCTCAGAGTAAGTGGCTCTGGTTTTCGGCTTCTTTGCCTGCAGAGGTGCTGGAAGCCTTCAGCCTTGTTTAGAGCAGAGGGGATGTGTCTCTTCCCTTCAGCATGGCATAGGGCAAGTATGTGTGTGTGCTTGTATATGTTTGGCAGGCAAAGCTAAACCACAACAGCAATGCCATCCATCTCTTCTACCCTGCTTCTCATCTGTGCATCCCAAAATGCTTTCAAAAAGAAGTAAATGGCACCAGGCCCATCTCAGAGAGCTATGCTGAGGAAAGGTGACTGGTGAATAATCTCCAGCAAAGATGATGGTCACAAAGCTGTGAGGTCTCAGCCTCTAGCCACTGTTCATGCACTGGGCACTTCCCTGTGTAATATGAACACAAAGCCATTTGTAAAGGAAGCACCAGTTTGAGATGGCATGTTAATCCAACAGAAAGGGAAGGAAATCAAAATCTCTCTGCAAATTAGAGGATGAATTCACAGGGGCAGAAATCCTATTTCAAGACAGAAATAAGTGGAGCAGAACAGAGTGGTTTAGCAGTGTCCTGTGGAAAGTGCCTGCTTGCTTTGTGCAATATTAAATGTGTGGTGCACTTAAAGTCAGTGTTTGTAGGGTTTGTGACCTCTGTAAATGAGCAAGAGAGGTAAAGCAGAGGAGGGCATAAAATTACAGATGATGCTTGCCTTGATCACCGTCTGTGTGCACTAGAGTGGGGTCATGTAGATCAAGATCAGTTTTCAGACCACGTCCCTCTCCCCATGCTGGTGTTGTGGATCTCAATATTGCTGAGCCTTGAATGTATGTCTCAACCGGCAGGTGTAGATATATTTCTACTGAAGATAACACAGGGCTGGTGTTTATTAAAGAATGGCTGCCTAATTTGCTCATGCCAAATCTGTTCACTCTTTGAAAACGCCCTTCTCCAGCATGGAAGTTCTTTCCCTCCTTTACATTTTGGATCATTCGCTCCTTCACTCAGTGATTCTTGCTCTCCAGAGAGATCCCCTGCTCACTTCTTGTGTGCTACCAGCCTGTTCAGCACTGCTTTTTGCTTTGTAACTTAACACCAGTGCTGCCAACCAAGTGCATCCATCTTTGCTTCAGCTTTGACTCTGGTTACCCAGTTCCTGTGTTAGTCCAGCCTTGAGTGTAAGGGCATCTCTCAGCCTTGCAGCGATGGCAGTAGCTCCACAGCAAGTTTTCCCTTTCTGTGTGTTTTGTTTGCAGTGCTGGCAGATCTGCAAGGGCGAGCAGGACCACCAGGCCCCCCTGGCCCACGAGGTAGGACATGTAGCACSAGCTCAGTGCATAAGCAGGGGCTGACACGTGTTTCTGGGCTATGCAGTTTGTTGAGTRAATACTCAGTAACATTCCTGTTTCTTTGGTCACCAGGTGAATCTGTGCAAGGACCCCCTGGACCCCCAGGTAAAAGTTTGATTCTCTGGAGCAAACCTGGAAAGTGGAAGGTTATTTCAGTGCCTCAGTCCTGCTCCCCATAGTATTCCAGCTGCAATCATGGACCCGTTGAAAGTCAACAGGATCTTTACYGCTGACTTTCCTGGGAGCAGATTGTCACATTGTGGGTTGCTGTTAACACAGCTTCACTTCAATGTTGTTTCACAGCAGCAAAAATGATGCTGTCCAGGAGGAAGGTTTGTTTTGGCAGAGGTCTGGTAGCCAGGCTTCTAAGTCATAAAAGCCACCTTTCTTGGGAAGACACTGGATCTTCTCAAGTTTCCAGGGAAGCAACTGGAACCACTTCCATCTCTGCTGTTTTAACTTGTCCAATCTTAACTTCTTCTAGAGAAAACAATAATACCAGCCTACTTGACTATCTAGGACTATCACCAGAGATATAGCAGCTCTGTTAGTCTGGCAGATTCCTGAGGCTTATTCTTTCTGAGGCCTGTTTGTGTCCCTTTTGCCTAGGAGTAGGATTGCCAGGACCTCCAGGCCCACCAGGGAGACCAGGATCGATGCACAGCTCGGGTAGGTTCTATCTACTCATTTCCTCCTCTGTGCCCTGGTTTAAAAAAAACACCTGCCTGTTTTGGTTCCAGAGCACACATTGCCTCCTTAGCTGTGAGTAGATGGAGCCATGGGTAACACGCGCCCTGTGCTGTTCAATGTCATGGAGCAACCTTTTTCTTTTAATTCCAGATACATTCTTCACAGGACCACCAGGTCCACCAGGCCCGCCAGGTCCAAAGGGAGAGCAAGGTACGTATATCCTGCTGCCTTGCCAAGATAGCAGAAAGTATGGATCCCTGACCCCTCTGAGAAGAAGCAAGGAGGGGCTTGCATGCAGAAACTGTCTTTCTTTTCCGTGGCTGTAAGAGAGCTGGCACGATGGTCACTAAGCAGGATTCCCATCTGCTGTCATAGAAGTGAGTCATTATGGGGGAAATTAATAGGCTTCCAGTATTGGTGTCAAAGCAGACAGACCCCASCTTTGCAAACCTCTAGGATTCAGGGCCAGGCAGAGTTTCACATCTGCTGTTAAAGGAGCACAGTCTGTTTGCAATATGTAGCATGGATGTCATGAAGTCAGTACAAGGAATGGGCCGTTAAGCTTAGCCCCGCTCTGARCAGGGAGGAAGAGCAGGAATCTGGTCCACTCACCCATTGCTGCCTGGTACAGTGGTGGCCATGACATTCTGCAGCATAGGCTCAAGTTCTGTTGCAGATCAGAATGAAGCAAAAGCCAACGAGGCCCCTCTGCTTCTCTGTTCACAGGCGAACGAGGCCCACGAGGATTCACAGGTAAGGAGGCCTCCAAGGCCGCGGGGGCAGTGTAGGTTGCCAGCATCTGTGACCGCTGCCCCATTTCTGTATCCGGTGCAGGTGAACCCGGTGAGCCTGGCCTCCCAGGAATCTCCTCACACGGTCAGTCTGTGTCCCCATTCCTCTTCTGAATTCTTGGTCCCTCATCTGAAGCCAGGAAACACAGTTGTGCTCTGTGGACTTTAGTTTGGTTTTGATGGAAGCCCACRCAGTTTGTTCCTGTGCATCTCTGACTCTGCTTCTGTGATTCGCAGGCAGCAGCTTGACCATGCAAGGACCTCCAGGCCCACCAGGCCCACCAGGACCCAAAGGTAAAATTAAAATCTTCTGTCTTTCCTTATTGGCCTCATGCAACCAAGATTGATTGAGTTGGGAGATTGGATCAGTCTGTTCCACTGGGAGTTAGGGCTCTGCCCACCCGTCTTCTGAGGCATGGTTGGACCTTGGCAATTGCACCAGTCTGAGCACAAGGCCCTTCGATGGGTCACAGAGAGGCTGCCATAAATTCTTTCATAATTTCTTTCCCCTCTTCTGCCCCAGTCCAAGATCTGTCATTACAAGGATTGGATGGTCAGTTTTCTGGCAACATGTAACTCAGCCCTTTAATATGATCGGCATGCAACATGCAGCAGCACTCACAGTAGTTGTCTGTATCTCTATTTCTGGTTTCCAGGTGATGCAGGTGTCCCTGGTGCGCCTGGCATCCCTGGAGCATCTCGAGGTAAGAAGCCGGACCATTATTGCTCTGATAGTAYCAGGAAGTGTTGGTGTTGCTGGCAGAGACTTGCAGAAAGCTCTTGTGACTCTTACAGCTGTGGGTGCTGCCTTCAGGTCAATGGGATTAATTTCTTCACAGTCTGTCCACATCAAGCAATTTATAAACTGCAGATTTTATGTTTTTAGTTTATTGAAAATCTTTGGACCAAAGTTTGTCCACATGGACATGAAAGAAAGAGAGACCTGGCTGTGTAACCATGTTCTAGAGGAGATGAGGGAACCTTTATTATACCTCTTGTGGAAATCCTTTTGCTGAGACCAAAGTTGCCCTTTGTTCAGTTTCATCAGTTTCATCAACTGAATAAGAACATCTCTCTGTGCAGGACACTAACACAATTTAACAAGTCCCTTCTCTTAGAATGAGTACGGATTAACTCGAGTGTTCCTGCCTGTGAACAAGTCCTCTGCTCCTCCGTGTCTGCAGGAATGCTGCTGCAGGTCCATGGAAATACAAACATACCCYGAGGAGCTGGCCTCTGCAGAGGCCGGAGTCGTGTAGGGCCCACCCATACTTTGCACTGGAGACTAGTGAGGAGGTTCTTGAGCTAGTGCTGCAGGCTGGCTGGCACCAGGAGCAGCAGGGCACAGCAGCCAGGCTGATGAGCTTGGGATCCTTCTTCATTCACAGCATTGCGCTCGGGCATGCAGAGTGCCCAGCTGTGTAAGCACAGAGCCAGGGAACTCTCTGGACTTGCTGTTATAGGTCTGCGTAAGCTGGACTATAAATCCCCAAGTTAATTTGAGGCTTACTGTCTGATAGCCAGGGCTTCATGTGTTGGAAGGTGGAAAAGGAGCCCCTCCATAGGCCGTTCCCAAAACTTTCTCCAAGCCTGTGGGAAGGGCTCAATGCCAGCATCACCTTAGCTGATCCAGCCATGCCATAACCTTTTCTTCTCTTTACAATCAATGTAGCTGGGTCCAGACAAATTCAGGGACCCCCAGGACCTCCTGGGCCGCCTGGTCCTCCTGGCCCAGGTGGAAGCTCATCTCAAGAGATTCAGCAGTACGTCATCGACTTCCTCAAGAGTGAGTATAACCAGACTGCCAAGGGTCAGGGGTGCTGCTCTCCTTCCTGCTCCTGTTGCTCACCCTTTAGAGGCAGCAGCCCAAGTGCTCTGGCCTCATTTATATTGAGTTCACTGAGGTGCTACTGCCCTCTGTGGCCTCTCAGAACTTTCCTTCCTCTACCTTTGCCAGAGGAGGATGATCCAGTCATTTCGCCATCGCCTTCTCTCTAGTGATATGGACCTGTCCTGGTCTTTCTACCCAGGTGACAACGCAAGGCATTACTTGACTGGTGTCCAAGGCCCCCCAGGTCCCCCTGGCCTCCCTGGAGTCATCACTATGGCGGATGGAAAGACCCTGGACTACGGGGAGCTGGCAGCCCGCGTGATGAGCTACATAGCAGGTGAGCTGTGCGCGCCGGCGCCCAGGGCAGCGCGGGCACCAGGCCACGCACGCGCCTCAACCGTGCAGCACCCAGACCACCACAGACACGGGAGGGACAACAGCCTTTAAAGAGCAGACCTCCAGCCCAGTTACCTGTCTTCTACAGCCTTGACCCAGGACTTCACAGGACAAAGGTGGCCTCAAACACCTGTCTTTTTTTTTTAATGGATACTTTAATTAACATTTCTGCTACTTTAGCAATATGACCTTAAACATGAGCTGTTTGACCCTGTAAAGTCCCCAGAGCCCAAAGGGAGGTGGCTGTATTTGGTGTGTATGGTCTTGGATATTGTGTTTTTCTTGCCTGCTTTGAGCCTTCCTTAAGCCTGTGAAATTTCCAGATCTCTTGGAAGCAGCCTGGAATTCCACAGTCAGGAGAACAGAAACCAAATCACTGTGAAGATCACCATGCTGTGAAACAGCAGCTGGTTCATGGTGCTTTACATGGACAGCCCATTCCATGAGTTAATCTGGATTATTTCAGCTTTCATTTGTGCTTACCTGGTTCTTCACCTTCTCTCTCCTCTTAATCCTATCTGACATAAAACCTTTTCGTTCCCACAGGCTCTTCAGGTCATTATAATTCATTTGACAGTTCAATATCAGCTACATCCATTTTGCAACAAGAACTTTTCCACATGTTGCAGAGTAAGTATCCTCAAAGGCAAACGCAGTGGATACAGTTAAAGTATCCCACTAGCCTGGAGCTCTGGCCCTCCCTGCCAGCCTCCTGCCTCCAGCTGCTGCTRTCTGTGTCAGGGAGCAAAGACTGCAGTTGATCCTGCTCGGTGACCTGCTCTCCAGGATTCTGCTCCAGTCCTCCCTCTCTTAGGGCTCCCTACTCCTCCTTGCCCATCCCAAGCCCTGTCAAGTCTTTGTTGACAAGCTGGGAATACATAGATCTGTGCTGCTTCCCACACACACTGTTACTGCGGACCAAGAGGTAAATCTCTGGGGTCTCTAAATTTTGCTGTGCCAGAGGGTATTAACMCTGCTGGCCAGCCCTGTGTTCCTCATCTGTGATGCGAGGAGGAGCAGTCAGATCCCACACTCTCTGCAGACGGACACCTACTGAAATGCTGCAGAGCTCAGCATGGTCTTTACCGGCTGATTCACTTCTTACTGGCTTTACTCAAGATGTTGTCCAGAGCGTCCTAAAGAAATAGATGGGCATGAGGAACCTGATCTCAGGTTCCAGGAGGTTTCTAGCTCAATCCCAAATATTTCTGACACCATCTACAGAGCAGACACACTCTGGGGAGGGGAGGGTGGAAAGAGCTTTGCAGGCACAGAGCTGGTGGCCTCTGGCAGCTCCCAGGCTGGGAACCACCAGCACTTTGCTCCTCTGCAGCAGCTGGATGGTCTTAAAAGATGCCTSTCATTTTCAGGAGAAGAAGTTCGACAGTACTTAACTGGACCGCGGGGTCCACCAGGACCTCCTGGACCAGGGGCAGATGGCGTGTCCTTGTTGCTGGATTATGATGAATTGACCAAACGGGTTATCAGCTACTTGACAAGTAAGGATCGTTATTAGTGTGTGTTTCCCTCTATATCCTTGGCAGCTGATGAGAAAGCTCGAGTGGGAGGTGAAAGCTCCTCTCTACATGTTCTGAGCAAATCCATAGGAACAGAGGCCTCCTCAGAGGGCCTCTGAGAAGCATGAGGGAGGGCAGGATGCCCTGTGGCCAAGATACCATCCAAGGACTTTAGAAATGCATCCTTAGTTTGCTAMACATTGATCCTGGGGACATCACCTTACCCCTCTTGGCTGTCCTGCAGGGTCTCCTTTAATAGTCAGGGGAGAGAGGAATCAACACCTTCAGGTGCCTTTATCCCACCTCCTGCACCTGTGGCCAGGGTGTATCTCTGCAGAATAGCTCATTTTTGCCCAGTGTTTGTCAAGACAACTCAGACAAGGAACCCTTCCACCTCTGAAGTTACTTGAAATAACTTCCATCTCTCTTTCCATCCGTGGAATGACAGTAGAACAGGTAAGAACCTGGGCAGAGAAGACTCTGGAGCATCCCCAACAGCAGAGCTCRGGGGCTTAATCCTGGTAACTGCAGATACCTACTTTACTGCAGGTGCCTGCTTGCCCATCTGCAAGTGCTCTTGTGTTAGAATTAGCCAGGCAAGTTTGAACCCCAGCGGGAGCAGGGGGCTCTGCCCACGGGCACCGTCCCCAGCCACGCGGCTCGTGCGGTGACACGGCCGGGGCGGTGACGCCGCGCTCSGGTCTGTTTGGATTTGCAGGCTCTGGGATGAGCATTGGGCTCCCCGGCCCGCCGGGCCCCCCGGGGACACCTGGGCTGTCCTACAGCGAGCTGAGCGCCTACCTGCGAGGTGAGTGGCTGTCACCTCCCCTGCCCCGGCCCTTCAGCAGCCCCACGGAGCCGCTCGCCCGCGGCCGCTCCTGCCCGGCAGCTCAGCGGGCGCCGCGGCCCCACACACAGCCCCTTCCCTCCGCCTCTCCCCACACGCAGCCCTCCAGAGACGCCGCTGATGCCTCTGTCTTGGGCCCTGGGGCTCTGTGGTAGCCTGTGTGTAGCCACAGGTGGCTGCCGGCAGCTTCTGCCACCGCGGCACAGTGTACAGGAGCTTCTGAYGGTGCTTTTTTAAAAGCACATTCCCCTTTTGGGGAGTTCTCTGGCTTCCACATGCAAGATCTCCCTGCAGGGCGGGGAGGTGCACCAGGAAGGCTGCACTGCAGGATGCTGGGGCAGGGGGGAGAGGGACAGGTGCCTTTCACGTCACCTGCAGCGTCAGAGGAGGGACGTGGGGCTGTGGGGTTTGTGCGACTCTTCTCCCATCATCTCTTGCAGACTCTGAATTCAGTGGCCTTGTTGGGCCCCCTGGGCCTCCCGGGCCCCAGGGACCTCCAGGGATCCCTGGATCGGCTGGCATCTCTCTGGAAGACCTCCGTGCTCACCTGCAAAGTAAGGCACTGCTGTTGCCTCTGCTAGGGGGACAGTGCAGGCTTGCCGAGACAGGGAGGCTCCGGTTAGCTCCTGGGAGATGTGACTGGCCAGTGGGAATAGAGTTGCTTAAAGAATAACAAAAATCTCATTGCTTTCAGTGGGAAGTGGGTTGGAATTTGGGGTTGGACTGTTAAACTCTCTGGATACCCAGGTGTGTGCACTTTGCAYGTCCTCTCACTGTCAGAAGATCATGTGTTCTCTCTCCCTCTTCAAAGGTCTGGGATACTCTTCCCTCTCTGGAATCCAGGGTCCCCCTGGCCCCCCAGGTCCCCCAGGCCCTCCAGGCTTCTCAGGAACCGGTCTGCTGTCCTATGCTGACATCACTCACAGCGACGAGTTCAGGAGCGAGCTCATCCAGTACCTGAAGAGTAAGGGGCGGCCGGGTCCCTGCGCGGGGCCGGGCTGCACTTCACGTCTTGCTCGGGGGGACGAGTGCTCGGGGAAGGATGGGGAGAATGGGGGTGCTGGTGGGGCTGGCGGGCTGTGCTGGGCTGCAGCCGCCCCATGGGTGTCACTGCCCAGCCTTGGGAGTCCGGCCACCCCTGCAGCCCATTCGTTGCCTTCTGTGTTCTGCAGGTGATGAAGTTCGAAGCTACATCTCAGGGCCTCCTGGGCCCCCTGGGCCACAGGGACCCCCAGGACCCAAAGGGGACAGTGGCTTGGCAGCAGGGTCCATGTCTGCGTACCGAGAGTGGCTGGATTCCGAGTCGCGCCGAGGATCCTTTGGGCCTGGGGGAGCCCAGGGCGGGTCCATGGACACGAGCAGCTCCTACAGCAGCTCCCGGAGCAGTGTGTCATCCTACAGCTCCTCTGCCGGCAGCGAGGGCTCCTTCGGCGCCGCCCTGGGCAGCGAGGGCTCCCACAGCAGCTCCAGGGGCTCCGAGGGCTCCTTGGATGGGCTGCTGGGCGCGGAAGAGGCGCACAGGAGAGCAYTGGGTTCCAGCAGGTCCTACAGCGACTCCTTCTCTGGCCCCCTGGATTACAACGAGCTGGCCCTGCGCGTGTCGGAGAGCCTGCAGAGTGAGTGCGACCTGCTCGTCCTGCCAGGCCCGGGCTTCCCTCTCCAGCCCGCCCGGCATCGGTCTCCTCATTTCATCACTGCCTGGTGTCGGTCTCTTCATTTCTCTCACCTGCAGCCTCTCATCCCATCTTCCAGATGCACCTTGTGCAGAGCTCTTCTCAAACCTTTTATTTGTGCTTAATTCCTCAGGCCGAGGTATCCTTCAAGACCTGATGTCCTACAATGCACAGGGGCCCCCCGGGCCTCCTGGCCCTCCTGGTCCCCCTGGAATCAGCAGAGTCTTTGCATCCTATGGCAATGTCACCGAGGACCTCATGGACTTCTTCAGAAGTAAGTGACAGGCACGAGCTCTTCCATCCCTTCCAGGGGAGATGCRGTCTCATTATCAGGCAGGACAGCAGGTTTTTCCACTAATTCTATAGGAAGCTGCTCCCAGGCCTTACAGMCTGCTCTGCTCACAGCTCCTGTGCCCTGTTTTCCCTCAGCTGGACTGGCACAGCTAGAGGGGKACAGGGTCACCCACCCTCTCCTCAAGCTCCTGCCCGACCCCCTTGAGTGTGGGCCAGCTCCAGCCCCTGCAGAGATCACAAACTGCCCCTGRGATCCTGTGGGGACCCAGCTCGTTTTGAAAGCAGAAGCCTCTGTCAGCTCCCATCTAACCTAAAGAAATGCCCTCCAGTTCCGTGCTTCTCCAGGGAGCTCAGAGCCCTTTGCCAGGGCCGTGTCCCACTCACGTGGCCTCTTCTTCCTTTTCCTTCCAGCCCATGGCACCATCCAGGGGCCGCCTGGTGCGAAGGGGGAGAGGGGCCCGCCCGGYCCCAAAGGTGAGGCAGCCTCGCGGTCCCCTCGCTCGCGCCCGGGAGCAGCCGGGGCTCCCGCAGCAGCAGCAGCGGCCGCAGGGATCGCTGTGGGCCCCGGCTGCTCCTGTGTCCCAGCCCCGCGGCTCCGCAGCCAGCGGCAYCCCCGGGAGCGCTGGTCCTGGCTGCTCCTCAGCCTGGCCTGTTCCTAGGCCGCGGYCCCTGCGCTCCCACACAGACCTGGTTTTCTCCTTCCTCCAGGTGACCCGGGACCAATGGGCCCTCCAGGCCGCCACGGACACAGGGGCCCAAGAGGAGAGAAAGGAGAGAAAGGTAGGAGAACTGTTCATCCCCCACAGCAACTTGGGGGGCTGCCAGGAAAGGGAGCTTTCCCAGCTGCCAGCCCTGGCTCTGGGGTTGCTGGCAAACACGCAGTCCTTGTTTGTGTTAAAAAACAAAAAGACAAGTTCATGTTCAGGTAACCCTCCTTTTGATGTCCTCGGCCCTAGGTGAGCAAGCGTACGTTGGCAGAAGAAGAAGACGAAGCGTCGGTGTCTAAGGCCAGAGGCGGCTCCGCTCGCCCCCAGCCCCGCGGCGCGTCAGCGTCTCACTGCTAAACCCTGCTGTCCCGCAGCCACCCGCTTGGCGCTGGTAGTTGAGTGTTMGTGCTGGGCACGGGCTGCTCCCCACACGGCAGCGCGGCGCGACTGGCGCTCGCTCCTCCTGCTCGTGCTTGGCACAGTGCCCAGCACGGCCGGGCCGCTGCGGCACGGCCCTCACTCGCCATGTCCCGTCGGCCCAGGCCCCTTGTAGCGTCCCCRGCTCTGTAAAAACTGCTTGGAGCAACCCCTGCACGCGCCGCCCGCCCCGCCAGCCGTGCGGGCAGTGGGTGCGCAGTCGGCAGGAGCGGCCTGGCCTGGCACGACAGACCCCAGGAGGGCCTGGGCTGCAGCTCCTGCCCTGCGGCCACCGCCTGAAGCCATCTCCTCTCCCGCCCCCCGGGGTAGGAGGGCAGCGCTGGTGGCAGTGGGCAGCCCTGCGAGGGGACTCACTGCACTGGGGTACCCAAAGGTACCCATGGGGTGGCCCCTGGGGAGCCCCCAGCCCAGCCCTGCCCCAGGTGCCATGGGAAGAAGCTCCGAGCCCCAGCTGGGTTCTGCCTGTCCCAGGGCTGCCGCGCAGGGCTGATCCCTGCCCCTGCTTGGGGACGCACCTGGGAMAGCAGCTCCCTGCCTGCTGCTCCCCTGGCTGCGGGAGCCGCCTCCAGCCCCTCTTGTCTCGCTGCTCCCCAGCCTCYGCTCGCGGGGCTCCCACATGGCACCCAGGGCGCAGCCGGGCAGCGCCGGCCTCGCAGCTCCTGCTGTCACAGGAACCAAAGCACTTTTGTTAAACAGTTAATTGACTTTGAAAACTATTTTTTATAGTTGCTCGTTTTTAAACACTGAAAGAAAAATGACTTTAATGCTAACACCCCAATTAAAGTGTGTTTTCACCCAGCGCTCRCCTGATCCCTGGGCCGGTGCCAGGCACCAGGGGCTGCTGCAGGGGCAGGGAGACGCCTGCCGCCCGCAGGGAGCGGCTCTGGGGCCTCTCTTGCCTGGGCACTGTCCTCCCTGCTCTAATGGAGAAAACACTCCCTGAATCTGAGTTTCTCAATGGCGTAAAGTGGTGAGGGAAGAAAGAGCCCACCCCGCCAGCAGGTGGGCGAGGGCCGAGCAGCCCCGCGGCCGCGGCAGAGGCGCTTGGTGCCCGCCTGAGCGCTGCAGCCTGAGCCCCGCGTGCCACCCGCCTGCCCTTGCTGCAGACAGACCTGCGGCTCGACCAGCGTCCCGGCCCCTCGGCAAGTGCTGGGGCCACCTCAGCGTTCCGCAAACAAGAGCATGGTTCAGCTCAGCAAACCCATTTTATTGTATTTACAGCAAAATTACAGTATTCTACAGCAAGCCATGAAATGAAATTAAAAAAAAAAAAAAAAAGCCCCCAAAATTCACTGCCATGAGCTGCTTGTGCACTGCTCTGTGCCCAGTTGTGTGTCCCTGTCAGTTCTGGTTCCTTTGTGGGAGGAGAGTGGCGTGGCCTGCAGCCCCCCCAGAACATCCCCCGTGTTGTGCAGACCCGAGAGGGGGCAGCGCCCGGCGCCGGCTCGCGGACGAGCAGCCTCGCGGCAGCAGACGCGGCTGCCAGCGTTGGGTTTCTGCGTCCCCTTCCATGTTCTGCTGTTTTATCCCCACCCTTTTAGACTGGGTGGTTTATGATCAGTGTGGAAGCAGCCTTACCTGGATTGGTATATGCAGGAAGTTGTGAAAAATAAAAGCATTTTTGGCCAAACTACTCCCTTCTCCTTTTGGTACAGCAGAATTATGCAAGTCCTTATTCATTAGCTGGTTTTGAGCAAATCCTCATGGTGATCAAAGACCTTGTGCTCTCCCTCCGGCTCTGCTGACCGCCCGCCCGCCTGCCTCAAGTCGGGGAGCTACAAAATAAAGCACGAAGAGCCACAAATTTTTTCCATGCYGCCTGTGGGAGAGGTGAGAGGCAGACGGAGAACAGCTGAAGGGAGTCACAGGGTAATTTATCTCAAATAAGAGACCAATTAAATAAATTTAACTCAAATTTATCTCAAATAAATTTAACACTTTTATGTAGCAAAGTGTCCTTGAAATAACCTGCAAGATGGATACTGGAGAATTAAATGTCGTATGTGACTTGCTATCRTAAAATGCATTTTTATTCAGTGACCCGAGGAAGACAGACAGGCTGCTGCCCTGCTTGGTTCTGTCYAGGCTCTGGCTTAGCCAAGGGGCCACCTTTCCTATTTATTTACTTACTTATAGAAAACCAAAACCAAYACCAGTATCAGAGGTGTAATGAAGAAAGACCCTTTGACCACAAGGATCACTTTTTAACAGCCAGCCCTCTGCTAGACCATACAATAAACTTAACTGTAGGGTGCTACTACCTTAAAAGATGCTCTGAAAAACAGGATGCAATTTGGGGTCAATATGAACTGTAAAATGACATGAAAAGCCCCAGATGAAAATGCCACCAGTCCTGGCCCTGCGCAGCCAACCGGCCTGGTGAGCGGCTGCATCCCTGCCTCCCTGAGCCTGTGCTGGGACAGCCCGACACGTACCGAAGGAAAACCGTTCATCCTAGAGGATGCATCTAGCCAGGAACGAGAGCAGCAGCACACGCAGTTCTCTGGACCCTACCCACACATCCTTTCACACTGCACATATTCTCCCATATATTCATCACCGAAAGCCAAGGATTTGGAAAGAACCAACCGATTCCACGTGCATTACTGGAAGCAGGGAGGAAGGAGGCGGCTGGACCAGCTCCCCCTGTCCCAGCCCACAGCCCCTTCCCTGTGGAGCTGCGTCGCAGGCAGCAGGAAGAACCGGGGTCTCTCTGCCCTGCCACCTCCCAGCCACCTGCAACACTGCAGTGGCAGCAGAGGACAAGATCCTGCAAACACGTGAGCTCTAGTAACCCTGGGCTGCAGCAACCTCCGCTGCTCCTGCTGCACGAGACGCTGAACCCAGAGAGCCGATTCGGGCTCTCCCCAGGGGCCAAGGACCAGCCGAGGTCTGGCTGCGTCAGCGGGGAGCAGCTCTGAGCGCCCAGGGGAAGCGCGGGGCGCTCCGCGCCGACACCGCGTGCCCTCCTCCTCCAGTGCTTAGGACGAGGAGAGCACCAAYGAGGGCAAACCGAGGCTCGGGAAGGGCTCCTGGGGGGCAGGCAGGAAAAATGAGTCTGCCCCCCGGCAGTTAGTACCACAGCTAAGGGCCGTATGTGTAACTGCCTTTGAGATGGGGYCTGTTGCATTTCTTAACAGGATCAGCAACAGCAGGAGCAGAGAGATCAGATTTTGYGTCTCAGCAGATCTCTTCGAAGTCTACGTGAGCCTAAACTCGGCTGGATAGAACTGAGACAGCAGCGCAGGCCTCTCGTTCCGGCGCTTTAAGCCCCGTGGTGTCAGTCCAAAGGCGCAAGCTCCCGTGCCAGTCCCTGCTGCCCAGAAAAYGCATTTTCACACCAGGTACCAGCTCTCAGCGCCGCTCGCGAGGCTGCAACTGCTTCACAGGGCGCCTCGAGTCCAAACACTCCCTAAGGCTTCAGCTGCTTCCTTCGATCCCCCCTTCCTCAGAGAGTTCACTGATTTATTTGTACAGTTACAGTGAGATCAAGTACAGAGGTTTCCTGTGAAAACGATGAAATTCAAATAATAGATTTAAAAGATTTACATAGAGGCAAGCGGTACATTAATGTATATTAGCAAATTATCACCCAAACCACCAAGAGTATAAAATGCAGATAACATCTTTCCCAGAGAATGTAATGTGCATGAGAGAAGAAAGAATTCAAGACMGGGAAATTTGCCTGCCACGGTGACTCCCTAGATAAATCACTGAGCTTATTTTGTATGAAATTTAAAATAAACTCTGTTCAATACAGAGGTAAGGATTATTTCAATGTTATTTTAGTATTAGTCAATTTAAAATGGCCTAGCTTAAAAAGTAACCCTGGGGTTACTTTTTAAAAAAGTCCTTCGTAACCTTTAAAAAAGTCCTTCCTACTTTTTAAAAACGTCCTTCGAGGACGTTTTTCTCCCTACCAAATAAGCAGTTTAAACAACTTTGCATTCAGCAACAGGAAACATTCTAGAGATATGGTATGTGAGTTTACAACAGTACACATTACATAATCATATAATAAAATGCCAGAAATTAAGGCTAGCTATGAAAGTAATTATGCTTATCAAAAAGCTACAAAATTTAAATCAAAACATGCATTTTCCAATTATTCCTACTGTACTGTACTGTAATTGTAAGCGTCTTCCTTAAGAAGGYAGAAGTTCAACATCCAAGGATTTGAGCATCCAAGATTTCAACCCAATCCGATGAAAGTCCTATGTTATTACGAGTTCGTTCCCATGCATCAACACTGTTSCCATGAAATGAACATCATACAGTGTCCACCAGCCTCACATTTAATGCAAGCTAACAAAACAGAAAACGTTTACAGTTGATACCCAGGGCGGCCAGAAAGAGAGAGGCCGCCAAGGACAGAGAGCAGAGACTATTTTACAGGTTTAACTTTGGCAGACCAAAGCCCAGCCCCAAACCCTGCCTTGATATGACTCAATTCTAACCGTCCAAAGGAGGGCACTAAAAGGGAACTAATACAGTTACATTTCCCTACCAGCTACATGAGAAACATTTCCGATTTTTTTCCACTGCAGATCAGTCAGGTAAATAACTTATTATACATCTATGAACTCGAAAAATAAAAACTGTATATGTTAGTACGTAGCAAAACAAAAGCAAAAAACCCAGCTTCGTAGTTTGTCTATATATTTAACTTAAATCTTTCTATAAAATAAAATGACTAAAAAACAAAACAAAACTAACACTTCTAATTGAATCAGACTTCAGGCATGGTTATTTATAAATATTACCATCCACCTCCACTTTGCTGAGGAGCTTAAATGAACAGGCTTTGGTAAGAACCAAAAGATGCCTCTACCTATTCCAGGTAAAGCTGGAGAAACCACGTGCATTTTGCACACTGTGTTGTAAAAAATACATTCTACAGTTTTCCCATTTGTAGAACTAACCACCTGTAGTAGCTAAGGAAAACAACAAACTGTGCATTTCAACGTTAGCATTCTTTTCACCTTTACATATTTTAGTGCAAAATATTTTAGGGTGAGGACTTATGACAAAAATGGCAGTAGCAGCAAGAATTATTTTGTTTTGTACAGTAACAACAATGTTAAGGAGGTTTTCTGTAATGACAAAACACTATCTTGTTGCCAAAAGTAGCATATCTAAGTGTTTCAGGCACTGTATTAATTAAACTAGCACCCCATTTCATTATGGAATTAATGGACAAAATATGCAATGGAGATCTGCTCAGTTTAATTTATGCCAGAGGTTTCTGTTGGTTTGAAGAAGTTGTAAAGGCTTTTGTTGTTACCAATCAAATGTACGGGCTAATTTTTTGGATATTCGGCGTGTTCTGAGTAATTAGCTTCAGTCCTTGTCCTGCAGACMCTGCTCAACCTTACAACACTTAAACCTCTGAGGGCAGCTGCATTATGGAATTCTGTTGTGGAGAAATCAGACATGTGAAAACACGGTAGTGGAACGAGTATTACACCATTTTGACGTTCACATGAGGAACCTTTCTCTTTTTTTGTGACCACAAACATTATATTATTTTAGGCTTACTTACTTGAAGCCAAACCCAAAGATAATTTACTGAGTCTTAGATTAAAAAAATCCACTTATTCTTGAAACATCTGAAGGACATCATCACATTTCCATTACACACCAGGGTCCGTTCTCCTTTTTTGTTTTCTTCCATTCAGAGGAAAAGGGAAAAACTGACAGTGACAGTGATTGTCTCCACTGGAAACAAGGAGCGCTGCGGTCCTTTGATGCACGGTGCAGATTATATCGGGTTAGCTGATGAGGATGGAGAATCCCAAACATGACAAAGCTACAGCAGTTCCCAGAGTTACGACCCGGTGGAGTGAAGGCTGGGGATGGGATAGAATTTGGAAATCCGACTTTGTGTTGAAGGATTAAGGCATTCAGATTCTCCAGTCATTTTAAAGAAAACTTCCTGCTCTTGCAGTTTTCTGGCAAATTCCTCTTCCAAAGTCTAAAAGTAAAGATCAGATCACCACAGGAATTTAGTACAAGAAACCTATGAAACTTCTGACATTGTCTGATAGAGAATCATAACTTCACACAGCATGATTAAGAAGATCCACCTAGCAATTACCAAATTTCTAAGACAATGGATACCCGGCAAGCTAAGAAATCTCCTGCCTATAGATCTACCTTTAAATGGTGTGAAAACCTGGTATTTTCCATTTTAAAAATGAAATTATTAAAGAAATCTTCTATTGTTATTTAGCACTCAGAATTTGTGTGATATCCTAATGACTTCTTAAATATATTTCTAAAAGCCATCGCTGCCTCCAGGTAAGTAGTTTAACATGCACCTCTTCCCTGTAAGAGGGAACACATTACAAGACAGATCACACACAAGCCTTTCTTGTTCACATGCCTCTCGCCCAGCTGTTGTGTACATTTCGTATCTTTTCAAACAATAAACTGTGACTTTTTTTTTGTGGTGGCTGAAGTCTCCTCCTATGTCATATTTTTTGTATTGTCCAATCTATGGTTGTCCAGTTTGCAAGAACTGATGTTTCATAAACTGCTGCAATTTACCTTTTTTCGTGGTCTCAGTTTCTCTCTCCATTCCTTCAGCTCTTGGCTGTGCTCTTCATCTAGTTCTTTTAGCTTCTGAGTCTCGTGTTCAACCAGTAGATGGCATTTTTCATTCTTAAAACAGGATAAAAATAATCCTTAAGTAAAACTAATTCAGATTAGACAACTCCGTATTTGTGCAGTGGCATATGCTGTCCTAATTCTTTTTAATTAGCTTACTCTGTGTAAATAGTGACGTGAATAATTACAAGATAAAAGTATGCTACTGAGGCTGCATTACCAAAAGCTGATCCTTCCATCAGAACCAATTGAGAGAGATAAATAAATACTGAAGTACCAATGAGAGTGGCTGACAGCCATACTCGATACTGCCTGGGCTTCACTGCCTAATTGCACTACTCAAGGTCATGTAGTATTTCTGCTTTGCTTTCTATAGGCACTTTGTGTAATTTATTAAAATCTATTAAATTAAAAAGGGGAGCACGTGAAGTATCTCAACTSTTGGTGCCAAGGAACTCAGACTGGCAAATTGAGGGAGGACAGCAAAAGCGCTTGCAGAAGCAGCCTCAGACCCACCCTACAAAAAGAAAAAAGGATAATCAAGGCATGCATTGATGCCAAATTCCACCCAGTAAGATAACTATGCATCTGCCAAATATTAATAGGAACTTCAAAGCATTATGGCAAGATACAGTTAAGCATTTGGCAGGAACAAATCTTGAATTTTTAAGTGCAGTTGGCAGTGRTAGTTGCCAATACCCATGAGCTTGTTTCTAGAGCTCAAAACCCAGCTGTGCCTGATGCATAGTCTGAAAACCCAGGAAGGAAAATGAATGAAAGGACTTGGTTAGTCCTGAGTGCAGCGAGGGGCCAAAATGTTCTCAGCAAAATTAGGGTGGCCCTAATCTGATCAGTTTTACTTGCAATGAGAGCCTTGCAGCAAGTCCTGCTGTACGTGGGGGGTTGCTGAAACAGACCTGCAGCCCAGGCACACACTGGGTTCCCAAGGGCAGCAGTGCAGAACCAGCTCCACTGGCTCCAAGCAACTGCAAGATTCCTCTGGACAGAGGCTATCAGCAGGTGAGCATGTAATGCTTTACATTGCATCATACGTAAAAATGTAAAATGATTCTATGTAAAATCATTTCCCACAAATTCTTCTAAGCTTAGGAATTAAGGGTATGCTTCAAATTTTCAAAAATCTACGTGAATAGATAAAAATGAAGGAAAAATATTTCTGCTTGGCCTGTGTTTCTTCCCATTGAATGTTCATGTTATACAATCTATTTTTAACCTGTAATTGGTGCAGCTCTCGGATGTTTGCTTCACATTGCAACTGAAGGTCCCGCATTTGATTTTCGTGTTTCTGATGCTGAGCCAGTCTCTCATTTTTTTGTCTCTTTTCTTCTTGAATAGCAAACTAGGAAAGAAAAGATTATTTATATTGTACCTCTAGAGACAACGTTTTGCATTTGAATCAAAGAACTGTACAGAACAGAATGAACATATACAGCATAATCAAAGAGAATAATCTTAAATAATCTTGGTGTTTTCTTTCCTTTTTTTTTTAAAAAAACTTCTTCACAGGAAATTGCSTTCACATTTGCCTGTCACTCCATTTCTCTCTAATCCTTCCTTAAAACATACTGTGCTGTGTGCCCCAGAAAGGGATCCAGCACTCCAGAGATGGCCTTACCAGCTTTGAGGAGCAATCACTGAGCAGACAACAAGAATTCCCTCCCTCCATGTGCTGCCCATGCTCCTCCTAACTCAGCTCAGGAACTGTTGGCCTCGCTGGCCACGAGGCCGTGTTGCTGACCCAAACTCAACTTGTCCACCACGACACCTCTTCTGCAGAGCTGCTCTCCAGCTGCTGGTTGCCCAGCCTGCACTGCTTATTCTTCCCCAGGTGCAGGGCTCTGCATTCCCTGTACTGCATTTAATGAATGAGATTCCTGCTGGCCCATTTCTCCAGCCTTGAGGTTCCTCTGAATAACAGCACAAGCTTCTGGCTTAAGAACTACTCCTACCAGTTCTGAATCATCTACAAACTTGTTGAGGATGCATTCTGCCTCATGATCACGTTTACATCACATTATTTCCACTAGTAACTGTTGTTATTAATCACCTGCTTAATTTTTTCACGATCTTGGTCTGGAGAAGCTAACGAGTTGATTCTTAAGCTTTTCTTAAACATGGCCATTCGAGTCTTCGCTTCACTTCGCTGGATTTTAGGCAGCCGTGCTCTTTCCTGAGTTTGCTTGTTCTTTAACTCCTCAATAAGTCGTTGGTTATATCTTTGCATTTGCTCTGTCTCCTAAAATATTAACAACATAGAAACATTATAGAGTATCTGTTGGAACATCCAGACCTCATTTCATTGACAAGTATGTTGTTGGAATCCATTTTTTTCTCAGCAGAAATCAGATCCAGGCTCAGTGATAGGCAGTTGAATTAATCTACTCAGTGTATTTTATAAAAAAAAAAAAACTTATACAAATGTAAGTACTGTTTTCTGGACTTTAATATGCTCTAGGTCTCAGGAGACAGTTTTCAGCTACTCATTCCAATAAGCCAACCCAGGTCATCATTCTGTTCATTTAATTCCAGAGTAATTTACTAAGGAGTTGATTTTTTTAACTAAAACCCCGAACTCTGTTGGTTACTAAATAATAGAAGAATAGAATAATAGAATAATAGAATAATAGAATTTTACCCCTCTCCTCCAAAAAAAAATTTAAGAGGAAATACAATCATTTCACTTATGCACTTCTAGAAGTCTAGAAGCTCAAGAACAGAAGCCAGATGAATACATGATTTTTATAAGAGACAACTTTATTATCTTACCGCTGTGATCTCCTTCTGTTTCTCATTATTTACTGCCTTTATTTCTTGTCTCTGATTTATGTGCTTTTTTGTTAGACATCTAACCTTTCTGTGTCCATAATATAACAGGGTGAACTAACAAACACACTAAATACGCTGAACACTACCAGATCATTAAATTCAGAAGATTAAGATTTAGACAGAACATGCACAGCATGAAAATACCTGCATAGCCCTTGCCTAGGCAAGCAAGCAGCTACCAGTAGAGATTCTGAGACTACTTGATATCTATGTATAGATATTTATAAAACTACAATGAAAACTCACCAGAGATTACAATATACAAAGGCAAGTGTTAAAGTCAGCACCAACCTTTTCATGCCGCTTRAGCAGCTGGTGTCTCTGCATGAAATACTGATCTTTGAGCTGCTGCTTGAGGAGCTGATGCTTCTCTTGCAAGTGCCGCTCCTCCAGCTCCCAGATTGCAGCTTCACGAGCTGCAGAAAGAGGAAGGCTYGTTCAGAATGTACAATACAACAGCTTTTAATCTACACACAAGTGCATGGCCTTCAAGTGCAGTAAAAATGGCCTTCAAGTGCATTTTAAGAACAATGCTATTCCATAATATATATATTACTAAAATGTTTTGTTTAATCCTGAAGACATTTGATTTCATAAATTTAAGACAGACATTACTTCACTAAAATACAAATCAAAAAATTAGGTTTTAAGAAGAATCCAATGCTGGATACCTCTCATGAGCTGCTGCTTGTTGTTGAGACAATCTCGTTCAATGGTGGCTAGTTCTGTCTTCTGTTGCTGAATAATTTTCTTTAGAGATGCATCCAGTTCTTGTTGCTGCTTCTGCACAAATTCCTGCTCCTGTTAAATAGCAATGGAAATAAGTGAAATCGTGTTCTTCTAATCACATTACATTTTAATGAGATTCTCAGTTCTCCCAGTGTTTAACTGTATATGAAAACAAATACATTTTTAAGTTAATTTGAGTATTTAACATGTCTCAGCTATGAAGTTATACTGCATATCTTGTATTTTCCACACAAACAGTTAAGTAAAATAATATTTAATATTTCAGAAATAAGACCACAGGCAACAAGCTATCCAATAATCAGCAACTTATTTTGCCTCTTGCCTCTCAAAACAAGCTGCAGTTTCTAACCTAGTAAGAGTACTCAGTAAAAAGTTGATCTCATCATGTTGAGATTACGTATTCAAAGATATAAAAAAATCAAAAATATTTATGACTCTTTTGCTTTCAATTATGAAGTAAAGTCTATTTATTTACATAGTTGTTTCTCAAGTTTGTCTCGGGTGCTGGGTGCTTTCTCCTGTCAYGAACACAAGGACACCGAGGCTGGGAGTTCTGCGAGTTGGCTCCAAAGGCCAAAGCAAAGGCTTTTGCAGGAACTGCTTCCTGCAGGATGAGCTGGGCCAGAGCTGAGCGGGTTCTCTGCAAAGGGCACTGCCCCAGCACTGACCATGGCTTCTCCTCAGTGGGTTCATCAGGGCACTGCACGTGGCCCTAGGAAGTGGGCAGTGCTAATAAGGGTCCCCTCCTGTTCCCTCCCACCGAGGCAGCTCTGCTGCCTTTTTCCTCCTTGCAAGTCTCCCTCTCTCTCTCTCTCTCTCTCACACACACACACACACACACACACACACACACACAAAATAACCATAATCACAAGCATGCCAGCATGCACACGCACACTGCAGGAACAAGAAATTAAAGCATTTCATTCTACCATGACATAGGGGGAAGTAGTCAGCAGAAAGGATGATGGTGGTGGTGTTCTGTCAGAGCCAAGCAGGCAGCTACAGCCTTTTCTACTACACATAATGAAATGAAGTTAAAAATGGTCTGCTGCAAGTGAGATGGTAGGAAGCAGGAACACAGGGCTGGGCTATGGGAAATCAGTGGAGTCTCCCAAGCTATGCCTTTTTTTTTCTTTTTAAAAGATTCCATACTCTCACTAAAAGAGCCAACAGCAACATAAGGATTAGATGCTCATTAAAAGCACTTTTATTATGACCAGGAGAATCATTATTTTCATCTTCACAGAAAGTCGCTGAATAATAGATGAGACTCATCTCTCTCAGTGGGCAGCAGGGTAATATTTAGACAGCAACAGAAAACTGGAGGTACAATAAACTGCTGCAGAGTCCAGGCAGCAGCAGCATGGAGGCTGCAAACAGGCCTGGAGGGGCAGGTCTGAAAACAACATCAGGCATTCCTAATCAAATACACTGATACTGATAAAAATAATACAGTTTTGCATTATTTTGAGATTAAAAATGGGAGCTTAGTATTTTGACGGTGTAGACATATAAGTAATATTATAGTTGACTTGCCAGGAACTTTTGAGTGTGAGGGGACACAGCTGCTCTACSTTCCCTAGAGCTGTGAGAAATATGTTTTATATCAAGGATGGCCATGGTCAAAAAGCAGCTCTGTATCAAAGATACTACTCTCTCAATCATKTAAATATAATTGATGCTCTCTACTTTGTAAACCATAAAGAAGTTCTTAAATTGCAAGCACTGTAAGATAAACTGGGCAATCTCAGAAAAATCTCTGGCCTTTCCATCTCCCTCTTCTATCCAAGTACTCTGTATAACAGAGATTAYGGATGATGCTAAAGGAGCCTGTTAGCTGGTGGAGATGGCAGGCAGTGCAATGTAGCTTGTCTTTGCAAAGTGCCATTTGGTTTGCCTGGGAAGTATCTTAAAATAAACTCATTATATGTTTTTAAAATACAGAATTTCACTGCACACAGAGCATAAAACAGTCACACGTTTCTCACATGTGCTGAACAAATGATAAGCACCAGAAATTAGCAGTATATCGTGTTTGTGAGAAACTAGTGTCTTGCCCAGAGTTAACTGCTACAGTAGTTTTGATCTTTTTACTGTGTGTTCAGCCTAATACATTTGTACTAACTGGTTTTGAGATATCATTGAAATTGCTCAGCACATACGAGCAAGAAGAAAACACACACTGAAAAAAAAAATTGGAAAATTAGGGAAACAAACTTAAAAAAAATATATAGAACTATTTGTATTATGACTTACATCCTGCATTTGTGCGTTGAAAAGCGTACATGAAGACAACTGAAAAGACTGAATCATAACCTGAGCAACACCCTGTGGACACAATGTACTTCCATGTCAGCATATAATAAAATATAATTCTATTCTTTTAAAGAATGAGACTGTGGTATATGTTAGTAGTCTACATTAAAAATATCATGGGTAATCACATAAAAGCAGTCTCTGACCCAAGGCATTCTACATATTCTACCATAAGACACCTGCACACTGCCTAGTACTTATCATTCCAAGTGAAGATCTTTCATTGTAACTAAAGATGTTTGACTTTAACAAAAGCAAATGAAGTCACTACAAAGAATATAAAAACACAGTTCTAAAATGAATTGCTTAAGAAAAGACAGAAACTTCTGAACTTCACTAGGGGGGAGCACTGTAGCCGAGTCAAATTTTATCCTGGGAAATCCTCTCTCGAACACAGCAGGTAACTGAATGAAGTTACCAACGTTTTCTACTAGGTCACTCGCATAAACATTTAACCTGTAAGAGTTATTCAACCCAAACCTACCCTGCTGYGATGTAGACTTGCTCTCTATTAGCAGTGGCCATCAGAAGAACATCTTTCCAAAATATTTTGCTACCTATGTCATATAACAGCAGCAAGGCTGGAGGCATGAAATTATGTAAGTCGTCTTTTAAAGTTTCCATACACCTACGCTTTGACATTCAAATAGCTACGTTTTACCTAGTCTGTTCAGCTGCTAGGAACTAGATGCCTGAGGCTTTTATTGTCTGTATTTTCTTCTTCTCTGCTTTTTGCTCAAAAATAACTACTGCAGCCTTTACAATTTAATGGATCTGTGGGATACTTACCACCCAAAAMAGCACTGCCATGAAACCAGCTGTGGAAAAATACTGTTCTTTTTCGGTACAGCATACAAAATATATTAAGCTGAAAAGCACAAACCTGGAGATACCGCTGTKCCTACATATCTAAACACTGTGTTCTTCTGGGAAGTGTTATGGGAGTGTTTGAAGAAAGAGCAGTATGTAGGGTTAGTCCGAGTTAAGTTTCATATTCACTCAACAACAACAACAAAAAGTGAAATTATCAAGCTGTGTGAATACTGCCGCTTTTTGCATTTTAGTAGCGGGAAGCTGCCGTTGTTACCTGAGCATGCTGGGTTTGGGCAAGCTCCTCTTTCTTGCGTTTCATGAGCTCTTTTCTCAGCTCTTTTGGTGCTTTCTCCACTTCATTTAAAACCTACAGTGTATATAAGCATGCAGAAGGTGGCGAAAAGAACACTTTCTCCACAGCAAGCATTTCTGTGAACATCGGACATGCAGTCACGCACCAGAGATGCTGGGAAGCGTGCAGGGCTTCCGTGGCAGAAAAGTTAGTTTAGTGAAAGGAGCTTATTGAAAGAGAAGAAACAAAACATGCTTTATGCATGCTACTGCAGTGCAGAAGGGAGGTACATGCCAGCTTCTTTTTGCATGCAAATACTGCCCAGTGCTCGCAGAAACAGCAGTCAGTTGCTTGAGTTTTCATGCAGCAGCTAGAATAGCTAGGAGTTAAGAAAACCACCACCTGCAGAAGTGGCATTTTCTGGAAGGATTCCTGGAAAGGTCTACAGAGGACGCTTATCTCACAGAAAAGGTTTGTGAAAAAGAATTGGAAGTTTATTAGAACTTCCACTGAAAAACAGCTATTTYTGAATTTATAGACAAATCCAACAGACAGTCAGATTTGTCTAGACAGCCAGACAAATCTGAATTTATATGATTCGCTTCTCAAACACACATAAGATTTACATAGGATATGTATTTAAATCTTAAAAAGAAAAACTGTTCACTTGTGACAAATTTTAAAATACAAAGCTCCATTTGTAAAAAGTATTTAATTACAATTTGCTGAAATGATGCATGTTGTTCATTTGGGGGCAAACAGAGCTAGATTAGTTGAAATTTTCTAAATATAACGTGGTTAATTCAACTGGCTGTGAATTTGATAATTTGCTGCTGTCTTTTATTTACCATGAAAAGTTATGATAATTCCACACTGTACACTCGTAAATAAAGCATGGGGACTGTCAGAGTCCCAGCTGCATTTTCCTTCAAACTGTAAATTGCCTTCTTAAGCTTTAAATACAAAAGTATGCACCCCAAAACAAATGCCTGTTTGTTTAATAGTGGAAGCAACATCAGAAAAAGGAGTCCAAACCACCAAATGATATTCTTATTTCCATGAAAGAACTGCTTTTAGCTCAGAGCAATACCCAAAATCCTTCCCGCTTCCCATGTAGGACCCAATCACCATTAAAGAGACTCAAAAATGCAAGAGGTTTTGCAAAAGAAGAAAAGTTATTACATATCAGTATATAGTTCAGACTGAATACAACTTTTTTTTTTTCTGTACTTCTGTACTAATACAGGGTCATTCTGTGCAAAAGTAGTGACAATACAGATGTTTAAAGAAATCTCTGTGAGACTAACTACTGAAGAAAACACTAGAACCATTTTTGTACAAGCAAGCACTATATCATTGATCTGAAAAAGAAACAAAGTAGCTTTCAGATGCAAAATCCATAACGGGAACACATCAGTTTCTCTTATTCTAATGCAAGCAAATTAACAGCAKGTCATCATTCTCAGATATCGCTCACTTTGTGTAGATTGCAATGGCAGAATTAACTGCAAATAATTTCAGTTTATTTCTCTCTCCTAGCTGCACTCTTTGACTTAAAAATAATTGATATAAAACTGTTGTCAATTCTTACAAACAAGTTCTATAATCTGAAAAGCATGTTTAATGAAAATTTAACAAACTAACAAAAAAATGCTAAATGAGAAATATTTCTCAGTAGCAATCAAGACTATATTCTTTTACTTTAAATTCTAATTAGATAAATATTAAGTGGTATCTGGATTCTTTTGCAGTCTTTAACAAATCATTTTTTCTCAAATATGATATCAAGATACCACTATCAATACCCATATCTTCTGTGGTGTTGTTGTTGTTGTCATCTCTTACCTCTTTTTTTTTGTTCTTCAACATGTTCTGGAATTTCGACAATTCCTTCTCCTGTTCTGCTTTGATACGTTTTGCTTCATCTCGTAACCGGTTTGTATGTTCCTGTTCCAAGCGCTCTATCGTCTGTTTCTGCTGTTTTTCTAGGTTTTCTATTTCTTGATCATACTGGCGCTTTTTACTCTGTAAAAATAATTCCATTTAATTTGGCATCTTCTTCAGAAGGCTAAATACAGTGACACAAGCTGGGCAATATCCACAATGCWGAAAATTTTCATTAGTAGCACAGAGTATGAAAACAGAGACACAAGAACCATAGAGGGAAAGCTGCTAGCAGTCTTCTACCCAGTCCATCAGGACAACATCATTCAGAGTATTAGTTTAACTTCAAAAAGCTACGTAGCTATTTCTTGGTACCAAAACAAAGAAACTCACTGTCATTTCCTGTTCAAAACGTCTGTACATCTGTTCTCGCTGCTGCAAGAGTTTATTACTTAGCTGCTGTTGAGCTCTCTGCTCTTCTTTCTGAAGTAGTCTTAGCTCTCTCAGCTCTTGACGCCTAATAATGAAAAAGAGCTYTTAAACACTGATAGGACAATAAAATGGGAAACTTACCAAAAACAAACAAACAAAATACGTTCGGTAAAGCTAGTTTTGAATTGATTTTATATGTAATTTTTAAAAAGATTCCAATTAATGAAAAATCTGAATTTAATTCCTAAATACTAAAGAAATAAGCCTGCTAACTCCCTTCTTCTATTTAAAAAGAAAACAAAAATAGCAGCTACATTTGAGACACTAAAAACTCTTTCAAAATTCACTGTTCAAAATGCTTACCGYAGAAATCGCATCTCTTCACTTTTTGAGTCATTTTCGGTAACTATTTTTGATGTGGTCACGCTCACTTCTACTCCATCAACAACAAATTTGCGAGTTTTCTTTAACGTTTTCTTTTGTCTTCTAGTTTCCTGAATAAAACATTGGTTAATTATTCCATGTTTAAATCATATTCTTTTTTACCTCAGTGTTGCTACAGTAGAAAAGAAACCCCAGCAGAAAATTGGCCCTATCAYGCTAAAAATATTGCAACCATATCAAAATCATGCTTGTGTACCTATGTCAATTTGGATTTTTAATTTTTTTTTGGAAACAGATGGTCATACAGATACTATCCTAGTATATCAGTGTAACAATAAAGTAAAGTTTATATTCTGAAATGTGCTTTATCTGGATAAGAACATTTATACTGGTGTAACCATATCAATTATAGCACAACCAAAACAACACAATTGCCAAACTGAAATATCCAGTAAGAATGATTGTTTTTATATGTTAGTCTACATTTTTAAATAAAATTATGCAATGAAATAAGAAAATTATTAGCTCCTCTGTTGCTACTTGCCTTGCTGTATAACTGTACAAAACACAGGCAACACCAGTGCACTTTAGAACATCTTGGTTTCTACAGATTCACATATTCCACAGTGCTATACRGTCACCAAATAACACTCTCCCACTTTCAAAGGTAAAACTCAGAGATTTTAGGGTCACAGTGATGTAAGATTTGATATAAAAAGTAAATTGTTGCTTATACTTACTTGTAAAGAGATTGATCCTGTCTCTTTGTTTTTACTGAGGAAGCTAGAAATGGATAAGTTCAAATCAATGCTGCTGTTGTCAGCTGCAGAACCAGTGCCTGAATCTGCATCATTTTCCTTTAGAGTCTCTGATTCCAGCTGCTGTAACGTTCCAGTACTGTCTTGATTATCTGTTTTGACTTTTTCCTCACTTTCTTCAGTGCTAACGCTAATACTGGGAACGGGAGCAAGTTCAGAATCCTCGGCTCGTTCATCATCTGCATCTTGAAGCTTATTCTTTACTAGTTCATCYGAAGTACTTTCTGAACGTCCTTTCTCTGGCTGAGTACTGTTTTTCTGGACAGTCTCAGGTCCACGTCCTTCTGAATCCTGGTCCATCTCAGCTGGTTTGTCCACTGCTTTAACAGGAATATCCTCAGTCTTGCTCTCTATTGCCCTCTGATCTCTGTCTTCTTTTCCAGAGTCTTGGATCTCTCTTTCCTCCATGCTACTTGTTTTACAAATACCCTCATTTTCACTTTCTTCCAGTTTCTTGTCTACTTCAACTGCTTTATCTTGGCTTTTAGACACTGTTTCTTCAGAGCTGATTATCTCATGGACATGCTTAGGCTGATTTTCCGTTAGCTTATCCTCTGTCTCAGGTACTTTATCCCCATCACTAATTTGAGTTTCACCAGTACTGCCTGTCTCCTCTTTATTGTCAACTCCATGGCTTATTAGTTCCTTTTCTTCCTCAGTCACTTTGTCCTCATTGGCTAGAATTTCTGTAGTGGTGTCTATCACCGCGACCTTCTGAGCCTCATCTTTGTAATCCTTTTGCTCTGCAGTAACATCTACATTTTTATTTTCTGGAAGATCTAGTCTGTTCTCCTTCTCTTCTTTTTCACCAGTTTCCTTAGAAAAGACTTCTTCAGTTTCAATGCTGTTTTCTGTTGTGGCTGCTATTATCAGTTTATTTTCTTCTGCCTGTTTATTTCCAATGTCTTTTTCTTTCTCTGTTTCTAGGTTGCATTCATCTGTTATTTCTGGTTTTGTAACCACATCAAGTTCTTGATTTCCTTTCTGGGGTTCAGTATCTTCACGTGCTTCCTCTACTCCTTCTGTATTCTTTTCAATTGCCAATATTTTGCCTTGCTCACCTTTATCAGTCGGCACAGCACCATTCTGCACTTTCACATTGACAACAGCAGTATCAGACATGTTATCTGCTGGTTTACCAAATTTATTRCTTTCAGATTCATCTCCAGTTGTTTTACCATCTGCAAATATACCGATGTTTTTCTCCTCRGCTGCATTACTTTCTGTTTTCTCCGAAAGAGATTCCAAGACAGAGGCATTCTGAGAAAGTTTGTCCTCTTCAGAGCTGGCAATACTAAGGTCAGAGGATGCACGCTTGTCTGTAGGTAACTGCTAAAAAAGTTAAAGGAAGAAAAATAYGCAATTATTCTCTAGTTTAAGTATAGCATAATTATATTAAAATACTTTTTAGACCCCTCTTCCATTTCCTTCAGTTGAAGGAAAAGGATCACTGTCAGCCCTGTTTGTCACATACTTAACAGAGTCYTTTGCAAAACACTTTGCTCCTTATTTTACTATGTCAGTCCCACCTACTGGTAGTTTGGATAGACATCCCTTCCTGGGCCAGGATGGCTATGTAGAAGCCATTTAGCTTGAGTTACTGAAGCATTTGTAAGATATAATATTAAGAACGATGCAATCAAAAGGATTACTTKCCTCTTCTCTTTGGTCAAAACATCCAAAAAAATAAGTTTGTTTTTTTCTTTAATCACTATTAAAATCTGTTAAAACAGTGCAAGTTCCCTGCAGGTATACATAAGTGGTAATACAGAAATAGAATAGAAATTGCTGTTGCTGGAATATGAATGAATGTTATCAGATCACATACCTACACAAAAGAATATACTAATAAACTATCATTTTAACCGTAATTGCCCTTTCAGTCTTCAAAGTGATTATGGTATCTGTCTATATTTACTGTTGGAACCCTGTAATTTGTAGATCAGAATTTTGATCTGCCATTAGGAACATACTAGGCCAACGTAACAAGCATAATTTTGAGCATAAATTTGCTACCTACCTTAAGGTCTTCCTGAATTAACATTGAGAAAACAATAATCTTAAGCTAAAAATGCATTCAAAAATATCTATTCATCTAAATGTTCCAGAAGCTTAATGTTGTTTGCCAAGAGGYAGTTAAAAGGAACACAAATAAATAAATGCATCTACTTCACCATTTCCTGAAGTGAGATGGGAACACACTCAAATGATACGTGGCACCAACTCACAGCTACCTGCACTTAGCCAAGTCCCCAGGGAAATTCACCCCTCAACCCTCCTGCACACTGAGAGCTTAGCAGCTAAATCAGCTTGGGCGGAGGATGCCTGAGGAGATGGGGACCATCCCACCAGCCCTGGAGATGCCGGTGGGAATGCAGGCCTGGAGTTGCCAAGCCTGGGGAGGAAGGGGAAGGGAGATGTACATCATGTGCACATCTATATTTGCTTTAACAAAACCCAGGAAGCAACTGCTATCACAGCTGGGATTGCAGCTACTGMATGCTCTGTGTTAGTGTTGATAGTATCGATATACTATCAACAGATACTTCAGGGTTCTGCTCCTTGAGCAACTGAGTTCATCTTAGCAGACTTCTACATATCGTTATAGTTATACAGATTTTTGTATCTTTAGAAGACATGTAATCTTTTCTTGATAAGGCATATTTGCTTGCTTTGGGATTTTTCCATGACAGATACACTATAAATATCACAAACTTCAATTACAGCATAATTTTCCATAATGATCTAATCATCATACACAAATATGCTTTTATTTAAACCTACAGATGGTCATCTAATCATATTAGTTTTAAAACATTTATATGAAAATGAGTACCTGATTTTTAAAAATTCATCTCACTATATACAGATATAAACAAATATACAGAAAGTTCATTATTAGCAGTTCTTAAAGAGTTAAAGTACACATTAATTTAGAAAATTTGTTATTTTATAGTAAGACATAGTAATATGTTTATTTATAAAATATGTAGTAAGAAATAGTATATTTATTTTATTCCAAGAAGACTTAATGAACTAGTGGGACAGAAATTTACAAAATGGAGTGCTCCACAGGAAAGAAAACAAAATTAAAACTATTTGCACATTTAAAAATGTAAATTTTAAACTGACCAGAGAACTTTCTGTTTCCTCCTCTTCATCCTCATCTTTACCATCTTCAACTTCTTCTGTAACCTCAGCTTTAGCTTCTGCTATCAATTCTCTTATTGGTTTATTGGAAGTARCAGTAACAAAAGGATGCTTGTGAAAATAAAAAGTATGCATAATGTTAAGTCCCGGCTCCATTGTACATGGTAAGAAAACTGTAATATTTCTCTGAACTTATTTCATTTTTTGCTGTCTCTAAAACATAAAGATTCTTGGTGTTAACATTAATCAACACTGTTTTTATCAAYGCACATTTTTTCTGTAGAAGTTTTAAAAACAAAACATTTGTATTCATATATATTATGATGAGTAGTTTATTAAACATATTAAAGACACAGATAATTAATTTATACTGACCTGCTTCACAGTCCAAAAAATAAAAAGTGAAATATTTTTTAAAAGGTTGCTTTTCCTGGAATTGCTTTTCATTTCTTATCAGTTCCACAGTTAAACTATTTCCCGACAGTTTATTGAGAAAAGTACTTTGCCTTTTGAATACTTTTTCGCAACACCAGTGTAAAATTCTACTTATTTATTTAAGAGAAGACAGCTCCCCGCTCTACTCCTACCCCTGCTGAGTGTTCTTTCTCTGTCCAGTCCTGCTGCTTAAATCCATTCAACGCATCCCAGGTATTTTGGTACACTGAACATGTGCTGACGTTAAACAGAATCAAATGTACCTAGTCACATCCAGTCTCGTTTGGCTCTTCTGCAGTGACAGCATTACGGAAGGCGGCTGAGCACTAAGCTTCTAAAGCACCTGTCAGCAAGTGACCTCTTACGTAAATAAGCATACACCTTCATCCATTGGAGCTACTGCAGTACAATTTAAATGCTCACACAAAGCAAACAGTTACATATACTGAAATAAGTAAGAAGAAATACCGAAGAAGAGTGAAATAAGTAAGAATTTGATCCTTATTTAAATGTTATTTCATCAGAATTTACCAAATAGGGATCAATTCAAACATGTCTAATATAGACTGCACATAAACTCATTTTTAAATTACTTAGGTCTTTATTGTAACACTGCTCTGCTTTTAAAGAAGAAAAAAGGAATAGCTGTGTTAACAATTCATTCTTCCTACCTGTAGAAGCTGCGCTGCACTCCACCTTGCATCCACGTTCTTTTCCAAACATTTCTTTAAGAAGTCTTTAAAATCTGGTGACCTACACAAAAAKCAAACAGGCTTGACATCAGATTGGAGTATAATGAAATATTCTTTTACTTCCACATKTATCTACATTACAAATCCATGTTCTCCTATCCACTTGGGAAAACAGGATTGTACATGAATGAAAAGACCAAGGTGATAAAAGTATCTTAATATTCTTCCATTACACATTACAATGAATGTCTTTTAAAATATTTTTTGTATGATTTTTTTAATTGATTTTTCTTTTTTTTTTTTTTTCATTTTGTCTTTAGACCTTTTACTGCACTACTAAAGAGCTATTTTATGTATATTTTAATGCTGAATTGTTTTTCAAACTTCTCAAAATGCGCAACATTCAGTATGGAAACTTCCATAGAGAACTACAACAAAAACACATAGAGAGAGCATGTAGCTAACTTGTGCATTAAATTAGTCCCATAAAGTTTAACAGGACTGTGCACATGAGTACAAATTAAGAATCTTGGCAGATCTCAAAGTCAAAATCTACAAACCAGGACAGAGGATAAGAATCTATCACCAAAATACTAACCATTTTGAAGGCTGTGCTAACGTAGGAGGATCAGATTTTGCTATTTTCAGAAGCACTCGCATTGGATTTAGTTCATGATGAGGTGGCTCTATCTGAGCCATTTCTATTAAAGTAATGCCAAGAGACCAAATATCAGCCTTGTAATCATAAGGCCTGTCTTTAGATGTCTCGCACATGACTACTTCTGGAGCCATCCTGCAAACAGAAGAGAATGATGCACAGAATTAGAAAAAGCAGCATGCATTTTCTTAGGAAAAAGCAGACTGCTTCACTGWAAACATTTAAGAAGCAAGTGCTATTCTTTTAATACTTAATAATTCTTTTATGAAGGTGACAATGTTACCACCAAAGGTGATATTAAAGCATTTGTTTTTATTAGAAGGTCAGCAAAGAATGMACTTACCAATACGGTGTGCCAATAAAAGAATCGCGTCTCTGTATCGTTCTTGTGTTTTTAGCTGATACTCCAAAGTCCGCTTAATGCAAACAGTAAAAATACTATTAACTTGGTAGTGAAGAATATATTGTATTTTTACATTTAACAAGGTTGATTTAAAATATTTTTTACAAATCAAACTTTCTACAGCATTAAAATTCTGAAATGAGATAAAAGTATTTTGTTTTGATAACTGAGTGCTGAAACACATKTCTTAACATCCCTAATTGAAGATATTTAAGAAATGCTATATCTAACCGCTAAGAAAGTAATATCAGCATTAAACTGTGTGGGGCAATACAGATGTACATATTTGGTGTAAGGACAAATCGATTACATTATTTTTATCGGTACATTTTTTTCTTTAACCTATGAAGGATTTCCTCAGAAATGGCCTATTAACCCACTTTACCAATTTGACAACTTACTCAGTTTTTGATTTCAGGATTCAAACTTTCCTACAGGGAGATTTTTGTGCTGTCACTGTTTTCTACCTCACAAGTTTCTTTTCACCTAGTTTATCATTTTATATTAAAGATTTGATATCTAGCATATTCACCCTTGATATAAGATCTGACTAAAAATCAACATAACCTTTGTATTACTATTATTCATCTAAAAAGCAGTACATTTCTTATTTAGAAAATATTTAGAAAAAAAGACAATTATATTTAAGTGTTATACATCTGTTCCAAAAGCAACATTTCTTAATGAAGATCTACTGATTAGATCAAAGGGATAAAATAGCCATATGTTGCTGGCTTTAATCTGTACAAAATGACTTGATGGGCTCAACACTTGAGAAGTCTAATTTTGCTCTGGAAAAAAAAGTCAGGATTAAGAGAGTTATTTGTTGAAATACAAAGTCYGAAATACTGATAAACTACAGAATCTAAAGACATAAAAATTATCATGAAGATAACACACAGTGAGAYGGATCTACTGGCCTTTCACATATTTATAAAAGAAAGATTTGTTTTTGTTGTTGTTGTGTATATCAGAAGCAATGAGTACAGACAGGTTAAAAAAGGTAAGCAGCTCCTCCAATGATGCTGTACCCTTAGGAATTATAGTTAGCAAAACTGCATGTATCCATTAAACACAGTGCCTTAACCGTCTGCACAGTGCTAAACATCAACCAAGCTTGGCAAAACCTTAGTATAGTTCCAGTCCACGTGAGCTGGAAGCAGGTCATATGGGGCAATTAAAATGAACAGAAACAAAGGAAAGCCTCTCTGGTCCTAAAAATCTCATGGTTTCTCTTTCTGTAGTACTTATAAATTAAAGAGAATAGCTCCACTAAATTATTTATTATTATCTATTTAGCATGTGAGTCCACACCTAAGCCTCAGGCTTAGCAGAAAAAGAAAATTACCCATACTTTGCAAAGGAAAAGATAGGCCCATGTAGGTATTTTAAGTACAAATAATAGTCTTGAGCAAGTGAATCTATGCAGAACACAGACACACTAAGAGATCAATCTAGCAAAAGAGATGCTTAATTATTCTCAATTTTTTAGCAGAGATGATGTATTATACCTTAACACCTGCCCGTGCACCAGGACTGTGATCAGTAAAGGGTAGGTAGTAAATATATTTAGTGAATCTGGACATACCTGGCTTACCTTTAAGAAGAACATCTGTGGCAGGCTGGGAGTTAGACCTCCAGTTAACTGTGGTGATCTTTAGATTCTCTGTATATTTATCCTCTACATATCTTGAATTAAAAGCAGTAGCCTAATCCCAGGTGCCACAGAGAGAAGGTTTTGGAAACCTGAACACAAGCTGCCATGTCACAGAGCTTGTCACTTGCACAGCCACTGTAAAGGCTGACAGCTTCTGCACATTTGTCCCTGAGGCAGCCCCGATGCCAATGGATCAGATAATTGTTATMTTTTCCTAGCTGAATGAAGGAATATTGTTCAACCTCAAGCTGGGAAGTCTTTGTGATTCCCCACAGATTCATGGATTCCCCAGCACATCAGAGGGAAAATAGGGATGCTTGCTTAAATTCAAATACTAGGAATCAACAAGAGAAAAYTAATCCTAGTTTTCTTCCAGATTGTACCATCATAGTATCATTGCAAAGATGAGCATTTAAGAACATTACTTCTATATACACAGAAATAATGGAAGAGACAAAATGATTAAGTAGTGATTTTGGTGGGGTARGGATGTGCATTTTGAAGTTTATAACAAATTTGTCAACCACGGTTTGGATACTTTCTCAAGCTTTCTCTCTTTTTCATAGTAACAATATTCGTGAAAAAAGATCATTCTTAGAATTACATTTAAATACATATATAGTAAACCCTGTCAAAATACAGCCTAGAGAAAATACAATTATATGACTACCTGCAGTTCTGGGGAAGAGGTTTGATGTTTTGCTTACCTAGCTTGATGTCTCCGTCTAATGTGAAAAGAATATTGCCAGCTTTTAGATCTCTGTGGATGATCTTATTTTCATGCAAGTAGTTCAACGCTTCTAGTGTCTGCCTGCACACGACTTTGATCTGTGGCTCTGTTAAGGGCCTCTCAAGCTCTAAAAGAGAGAGAGAGAGAGAGAGAGAGAGAGAGAGAGAGAGAGAGAGAGAGAGAGAGAGAAATACATACAGCATTTTTGCACTTTTATGCCCTTATTTATTCATAATGATCAGCCTAGAAGTAAATATAAAAAATAACTAATAAAGCTGACAAGTTCTGTATACTTTGTATTTGAGAAAATAATTCTGGTTCAAAATTCTTATTCTAGCTAAATTAATAGCAGAATTTCAAATTACTTCATGGGAGCAAAAATTTMATCCCTTGTACCTAGAAAGATCTCTATTATGAAAGATCTATACCTCCTTATCTGAACTGTGAAAAAGTTATCTAAAAGTTATCTAATTTAGAGATTGCTACACAGAAATATAAAAGACAAAATCCTATACCTATCAATATTAGCATTCAACTAATTTGAGGACTAGCACAGAAAAATCTAACTTTAAAGTTAATATAAAAAGATAATTTGAAGGATAATCAGGAAAGGGAAAAAAATCATATCCTGGGAAAGGTTCAAATTGATCACCATGTAACAGCACATAACTTCATATGAGCATGAGAACAACCCATCACATGCATTTAGAGGATCTAGACATCAAAAACGTATTTTGCAAAACAAACGAACATTTATTTACCTAACATTACTGCATCTACTGCTCCACCTGCACAAAATTCGATGAGGATCTGTATACAAACAAAAGAATACATAAATTAAAAATTAAACAGTTCTGCAGAAATGAGTCATTGTTTAAAGGAACATTATCAGAAGAGATGATTTTCAAGCTATTTTTTCTTGATAAATTATTTGACAACTTCTGCAAAATATTTGTGTATTGCCCAACTACAATTAGCACTGTGAAGCTCAAGCAAATTGTTTGAAAAATGCTTGGAGATTCTCAAACAAAAGCACTAATCCAAATATAAAACTCTGTAATGAGAAGTATTAGGGTCAACTTGTATCTGACTTGGAATGTGATTTACATAATCCCTAAGAACTCATTTAACATTTATTATACTGCTTGTCTATATTATAATCTCTCTTGGATTGAAAAGTCCAAGAACAGAAGTTACATGATTTTTCCAGTAGAAGAAATTGCTATTTTTCTATATTAATCGATTTCATCTGAAATAAAAATATGGGAAAATATATTTTAAAAATAATAAATAACATCAGAAAATGAATGTTTAATGCGTAAACTGAAATGTTTACATTTATTTTTATCCCTTCTTATTGATGCCTATAATTCTTAAACCGAAAATTTAATAATACTAAAGAGAATTCAATTTTCATTTCTCAAATTCCTTCTAAAACAAAAGTTCATCATCACTGCAACAATGTGATGCAGTGAGTGCAATTTTTCTTAAGGATTCTAAACTGTTACACCACTTTTATGCTTCTACATATCCACAATCAAGTAAACTAAGCACAGGAAAATCAGGATAAATAATTTTCCCTAAAATTTGTTGTTTGATCTGAGACAAATCTCTCCTTGGTAAAGAAGYTGTGTTTTTAAAACTGAAAAGTCAAATAGCATGTTTTATGTCCAACTCTAGCTCGTTCTTTTTTCCTGCCATTTAGTTCTGTTTACCTCTCCCATTATGACAGTCTTCTCCCTGCCACTCTCATAGCTCTGCTACTTTACAGTAACCATATACCTGCAATTTTATATCTTAGATTTTATCTTCCATTTCCTACCATCTTTGCTCTGCCAGTGAACCCATCCACTCAAATTTCATATTCTGCCCCTACGCATACTAGCTTTCATGCTGACCTTTATGCATGGAAATGTTTTCATTATTCCACTCTGTAACACAATATCTTTCTACTCTCCATTCAGATCACTCAAGTCTTCACAAAGCCCATCAAAATAAATYTACCTCAGGAAGCATGGTATTACATACCCTTTGTTTTCGTGGTTACAGAATAAAGCAGGCACATATGAMCCCAGGGAAACCTCCTATGTTACTCTTTCGGGTTATTTTTTTTGCATTACAAATGAAAAAAAAAAATCATCTACATTTTCCTTATGCAACCCAAAAGTCACTTAAAAATAGATCACTTAAAATAAAATGTATTTTCATTACTCAAAATCGTGCAGAGCCAAAGAATTAGTAGAATACTGAGGTACAGTTGCAGCAATACACACTACACTTGTGTTTGCAAAAGGTCTAGATTTTTAGTAAACTAATTATGGTTCAAGTCCTGGTTAACTGTCCTCCCTGCCAGCTACCAATGAATTCAGCTGGATGTAAAATAAATACAAACTTCACGATTGACTTTTTCAGACCCAAATTCATTTTGCAGCTGCAGCTTCTGAATCCAACTCTATAAACTGCACTAATGTAATTAGAATCTAATCCTGYTCTTATCAATACATATAGCCTAAGAACTCTCCCCATGTCTGTAAATAAACCGCTAATTTCCAAATATTGGTTTCAAGCTGCTGATTAGATGACTCAGCAGGTTTAACTTTAAGGACTGTTTGCTAGAAGTCATACTCACAATTTGCAAATAAGTTTTGAAACTGTAGGCAGTTATCCTAACAGTAACAACACAGAAGATACACTGATTAAATAATGTTAACAATTAAGCCATGAARAATGAAATTTCAATATATTTTTAACAGAAGTAAAAGCATTTAGAGAAGAAAAAAATACCTACCCATAGATTATTTTCGTAGTAGAAAGCATCTAGGAGCTTAACAATATTAGGATGATCACAGGATGCTAAAATGTCAATCTCAACCATGTAATCTTCTAGTTCTTCTTCCGACTTAGTATCAATCACCTTTGCAGCAGCCAGTACTTTTGTTTCTTTGTTCTGAGCCTATTAAACAAAGCAACAGCAAACATTAAGATAATAATTTAGAGAAATATCATTAAAAATTCCCATCCTTTGATATTTCTGTAATACTTTCCCACCTTCAGTACCTTCTCTAGAAATATATATAAATTAATCTTCAATATTTCTCTGAAGTATATGAGAATATCTACATATTAAAGACTAAGTAAATTACAGCAGAAAAAAAAGTCTCAAAGTCATAAAGAATCAATGGAAGGCAAGAAAGCAGGACAGCTTGACGTCAGCTGCATTCTTCAAATGACCATGGAGGTAACAGCTGAGGCCCATTGCTTTTTTGTATTCCCTGGATAAAGTTCAGTGCTCCTCTTCAAAATCTATCAATATTTGTATTGCAGCAGTACTAAGTAACCTCTGCCTTCCCTGTATCCAACTGCACATCTTCACCTGCATTGTAACAGCACAGCTGGCCACGAAGCCATATAGAAAAACAGATGCTCTACCAGTAACCAGCAGGTTCTGCTCATTTTGAGCAGTTTTGAGCTGTATTGAAGCTCTCCTGCTAAAAGGCTGCCAAGCCAACATTAATTTGTCCAGGCATTTTGCCCTGCATGCTGCAGAAGTCCAGAGGTCCTCCCACAGACAGTTGCTCACAGATGCTGGCCACACTGGAAACTCTGCCCACCTCTGCTTCGGGACTCTGCACCTCAAGACTGCACCAAAAAATTCCTCTATGTGGCAAAGGAAAAATGGAAGCTTCAAGGCAGATGTGCATGAAAAACATTCTGCCAGCAGGACAGCAGTAAGTGCAAAATACAGTTACAGAATGAACCAGCTACGATTATGGTTGTTGAGGGCAAGTATTTTATGATGAATGTGAAAGATTTCTCAATAATCATTTCAAATAATTAAAAAAAAAAATCCTTACAAAACAGTGGATCTGTACAATGTTATTTTAAAAACAAACAAAATACTGGGAAGTTTTCTAACACACATTCTAAAAAAACAAACAAAATACTGGGAAGTTTTCTAACACACATTCTAAATAAACATGCTAATATTAAAAAGAAAAAGGTGTGCTTAATGGAAAAAATATTTGATTTGGTTTCCTGTTTCATGGCCTGAATAATATATCAGTATTGTAAAGCAAACATGAAAGATGAAACAGATGTCTTACTCCACAATGGAACTAGACTTGGTAGTTTTATTCACAGAAAAATAGTTATTAAAGCAATTTTTTAAAAAATGCAAGTATTAATAAATGAATATTTTTGTAAAACATTGTTACCCTCCACAATATTTTGCAATTGTTTGCGGAGAATATGTCAAAAAAGAAAAAGTTTTAAAATTCACTTACAAAATTGCATTTAATAACCAATAACATACTCTTCAGATTTTGTTTAAATACAACCAGTTTGCTGCATATACAGCATATATTGGTTTTTGTTTCTATTGGCAGAGTACTTTGCATTTTGATTTTTCCCAGATCTGTCTGCTTGAAGAGGTTTATTCAAACCAGATTTCCAGTTCTATCTTGCTTGTGGGAGCTCTATTAAAACATCTCATTATAAAACAGAAGTGATTATGGAGACAGTATGGTTATCTTTATGAACATCTTTACAACTATAAACATAACAAATGTATGCTCTTGTTTTGACTTCTGAGGGTAACATTTAGTAAGTCTAGATCCAGATTTTTTTCAAGTCCACAAAAGGAAAAAGGGCATAATAAGAATATTTCTGAGGACTGATAATTTTAATTGTACATCAAGTTATACCTGAAAATAAAGGGCATTTTTTAAAATCTTCATTGTGATTTTGCAGGTTCACTTCAAACAAGACACTATTACTTTCATACACATGCTACACCACAATAACAATGTACCTATGTGGCTTGCTGTGAGAAACACAGCTATGTGCCTTCGAACTGTGTAGGAAAGGATTTTACTTTTCATGTGCAAGACATATAGCACTGGACTGTATGGGAAAATGGTGGACTGAGAAACAAGGAACAATAAGCATTCACAGCTTTGTGTGGGCATGTTTGTTTTTTCTAAACTTCAACTGAAATCTTTCTTCTGTCACAAACATTTTCTAAAGGTCAGAGCAGCAGCAAAAATGTTTGTGCAGATGCAGTCTTGATTTGCATATACTCATCTTACAGTTGAGCACTTCAACATTTATAGTCAAATAAACGATTCATACTACTTGAGGTTCTGCCCTTTTAGAACAGGCCCGATATTGTTGTGCCAGTTCCTTCACGAACTTTAGATCTCAGCTATCAAGTTAACCTTACGTGCTCTGCTTAAACCCATTGGATTCTGCTTCTATGATGGACTCTTTAAGCTTTGGTCTTATGCTAGGAAATTCAAGGTACATTGTCTTTTATAGCTTCGCTTCAGTTTTGCTGTATGTGGAGACAGGTAAGCAAGATTTTCCTTCTGTGCATTAACAAAACTTTATACTTTCTGAACATCTATACATAGAGTAGAAAGCAGGGCTGGAGTAAATGATTCCCCTAACAACTGACTAATGCGATGTGTCATTGGTATTAGTAACTGCTATATGCAGTAATACATAAATATTACAGTTCTTTCATCAACATTTATTTTTGGATTATTTTGCACAGTTATTGCAGCAAACACTACCTTGGGGGGACAGTATACRAAATGGACTAGCAAACCATGTGACAGCCGTTCTTCTACTCTTTCAATAGACAGCACCATCGCATTAGCCAAAAATACACCGAAATATCCCTCAACTGTAAAATAAAATAGCTTTAGAAAGATATTATACGGAGGCTGCCATACAGTAATTATGACTTTGTAAATCAGAGGCTTCCAAATCACTTTTTCCAAACCTAAAATCCTGTACACTAAAATGATGATTATGTCAACTACACAAAAACCTTGTCAACATTCAGCAATACATCAGCCCTGGAAAGAGGAAACACCATTCTACCAGAAACTACTCTCTGTTAGTTCATGAAGCCACTGTCCCATTCTTCCTTAGATTTTTATGGCCTCCTATACCCAAATATCCATTCCAGATCCAAATGCAAATATCCGTTTTGATACAGATGAGAGACTCCTAGCAGAACATTAAAAGGCAGGTTTTCTATCTGGGCATTCTGCCAAAAAGTCGTATATTCCCAGCTGTGGATAGCACAGAAAGCAAAGCTACTGCTTCAAAGTAATAGGTTTACAGCTCAGAGACAACAGAGTCTTTTGTCGTTAGAGGCCCAAACCGAAATCTCAGCCCTGGTTACGCACAGTCGTTCCAGTTGTTTATCCCCAGGAAATGCTTTCTGCCCAGCCTTGCACTTTCCCTCCTAGGATGCAGCACAACGCACATAGTCATCTAAAAATGACAACATTATTTACAATCAAAAAAGTTAAGTACATCCTTTCTCTACTGTTCAGCCTACCAGAAACACTGCTGAGATCCGAGATAGAGAATTATTTGTCACCTCTTTCTTTCCAATGCCTAATCTCTTTGGAGACGTTATATAACCACGCAGGGCTTTGCGAGCAGCAAAACAAATCAATTAAGAAGCTGTTCCTTCCGGTTTTGTTCCTCTCAGCCAAACTGTAATCATTACAGTTGCCCAGCACAGTTACCAAAACACAGGAAATATGCATTCGCATTCAACAAAAAAGCTGTAGGCATATGAAAAGTATTTTTGTATAAACCTGGAATTTTCAGATCCAGCTCCATTTAACACTTTCTGTTGATGTCTGAAAGTGAGTAAAAGAAACTGGGTACTGAAAGCTGTCCTTATAGCACAAAAAGGCAAGAACTGTTTCTTAGGAGCTCTGAGTAAACAGAGAGGCTCAGCTTTTCTTGAACCTAGGAACCAAGAGAACTCTGCTAATTTCAGATTATAACTAAAGGCATCTACAAGTGATAGCCAGGTCTACCAAGGAAACGAGACTGGACTTACTGTTCACAGTGCCTGCAAAAGTGCTAATTAATGCATTTTAGGAAAAAGAAACTCTCATTAGTCAGATAAAAAGAAGCACCAATTCTAACATGCACCGTAAAGAAACATAACTAAAAGCATCAGTTTGAATTCAAGAACGAAGAGCTAACTGCAATTTAAACCATGAATTTTAAAATAAACCAGAAGCGAGGCCAACAAAAGATCTGGAACCTCCCTACACTTTTGGAAATTCATTAATATAAGCCTGCTATTTCTAGAAGAGCTATATTATTTTGCATCAATCTTCACTGCAGAGCAGGCTTTAAAACTTAATGGCAACAAAAACAAGCTAGGAGAATTACAATGTTTAATTATATATACAAAATTAGTCCAAGGAATTAAAAAGCAGCTAACATTGGCTACACCTGCTGGAACTTGTTGAAGTGACTGTGAAGAACTACTCAGAAGATAATGAAAGGACAGTGTCTACAACGGAAGATGATACACCCTTAACTACAAGAGACTGGCCAAAATGTTTCTTGGCATAGACACTACTCAAAAACTAATAACTACATGGTTTCTTCTACTGAAGAATTGATTAATGCCAGGGAAAATACACAGAAATTGAGCTGTAGATAAAAATGCCTCATTTTCCTACAGTCATGCAGTATTGCTAATGAAGTTGTGCTACCAGGGTTCATCCTAGAGTAGCCACGGATATCTTTATGTGGTCTGGTGCTGCCCGAGGGGCTGTACTGGTTTTGGAGCAGTTTCCATGACAACGTTACTCTTCTTAACATTATCCTTGTACTTGGTACCCATTGCGGTTCTTCAGCTTCCTCCACAGTTGGTTTCTAAGGATTCCACAAGTTATTTTGGGAGGAGGAGTATGCACTACAATTTTCATGTTTAACCTCATGATTTCCCTTATGTTTTCCATTAGTTCCATGGCATTCTGCAAACTAGTTAAGCGGAGTTCCCATCCTGATTCATACACATATGCTGTGTCACTCCAGTCCATAGGAATATTTATGCACACATTTGCAAGAGCAGGGCTGAATCTGGGAAATGTGCACAAAGTAACCAAAACATCCCTCTGCAGGCAA